GTTGGTGCCATTGACTTTGGCTGGTGGTACAAGTGAGAAGTGGAAGCAAGGTAACATCATTGCCCCAATTGTTGTTGGAGCTGTTTTGCTTCCAGTATTCGCTGTGTGGGAATACTTTGCCAAAGACCCAATTATTCCAATCACGTTGATGAAAGACCGTGGTATTTGGTCGGCTGGTTTAGTTTCCTTCTTGTTTGATTTCGTTTTTGCCGTTGAAGCAAGTTTCTTGTATACCGTGTTGATTGTTGCCGTTGATGAATCTCAGAAATCAGCAACTAGAATCACCAGTCTTTCTTCCTTTGCATCCACACTTTGCTGTATGTTCTTTGGTTTATTTGTTGTCTACTTCAACCGTTTGAAAGGATTTGTGATTTTCGGATGTTCATTGTGGATGGTTGCCTTTGGTATCATGTACCACTACAGATCAACATTGAGTGCCCATGGAGGTATTATCGGTGGTCAAATTGTCATGGGTATCGGTACAGGATTCTTCTCATACCCCCTTACTGTTTCTGCTCAAAGTTGTGTTAATCACGAACATATGGCAGTCATTACATCTGCTATCTATACCCTTTACAGAATTGGTTACGCTGTTGGTTCTTCTGTTGCTGGTGCCATTTGGTCTCAAACTTTACTCAAGAAGTTAAGCAAACACCTCGATTCAGCTACAGCCAACAGCGTCTACACCAGTCCATACGTTTTTGCTGAGACATACGCCTGGGGATCACCTCAAAGAGAGGGTGCTACAAAAGCCTACGGAGAAATCCAAAGATTATTGATGATCGTTTGTTTGTGTTTTGTTGCTCCAATGATTATCCTTTCACTCTTTTTGAGAGACAAGAAGCTTGGTAGAGAACAAAGTATAGAAAACGTTGAAACGGAAGATGAAAAGGATTCCTTGTTCAGCTATATCAAGACTTTTGGTGGAAAGAGAGGTGGACAAAGAGATGAAAAGGCTTAGGTTAGTTTCTTATTAGAGTATTCCCGTAAACTGTATTAATAGCAATTTTAAATGAACGTATTTTAATTCAAACTTAGGGTCAGTAACAGTCGTGTATTTGCTGTATGAACCCTCATCAATTGCATTGATATGTATCCTCCTTGTTGCAAAACATAGTCATCTTGAGCTACCTCAAGAGAAAAAAAAGGTTGTCACGGGACTGTTTTGGGTTAGGGCTAAACCCCTAAGAAGTAGTGTAACAAGCACAGAGAGAGAAAAAAAAATACACCGACTGGGTGAGTGAGACTCTAGCATTATTGAAAAAAAAAAAATTGATAATTTCCAAAGCTAAGCACCAAATTGAAGTAACTACGGATAGTCAACAATCAGCCAACATGCTTATGCCAAGAGAAGACCGTAAAAAGATCCACCAATACTTGTTCCAAGGTATGTAATATTCGCCGAATGTGTGTGGGAGATTGTGTGTGAAGAAGTTCATGAGAATTGAACCGAACAGGAGATACATTGTGATTGGGAACATAGAGGAGCTATTGGTTTGAGTGAATATGAAACATATGGGAGAAGCAGCGGCCATGACTCTAACGTGAAGTTCCATGTAGAGCAATTTGAATTTTGGAAAAGCCATATCATGAGAAGTAAAGAGAGATCCTAGATCCAAAGCGAAAATCCCAGTTTACCGACTACCAGAAAGCCTTAGACTATTGAAAAACAGCTCACCTTTTTCACCTGTGAGCTCATCGCACGAAAACTTCCACCATCGTCCACCATCTTCCCAAATCCAGAATACTAACTATTTCCTCTAGAGGGTGTTGTTGTCGCCAAGAAAGATTTCAACCAACCAAAACACGATGAAATCGACACCAAGAACTTGTACGTCATCAAAGCCTTGCAAAGTTTGACCTCAAGAGGTTACGTCAAGACCCAATTTTCATGGCAATACTACTATTACACCTTGACTGATGAAGGTGTTGAATACTTGAGAAACGAATTGAACATTCCAGAAGGTATCTTGCCATTGACCAGATTGAAGAATGCTCCAGCTGAGAGACCAAGACCAGCCAGAGGTGGTGCTCCAAGAAGAGGTGCTTTCAGAGGTAGAGGTAGAGATTAAAGGTTTATTTTGTATGTAATTAAACGAGGAATAATTTGTGTATTGATGAACTTGTAGACAAACTTCTTCTCTTTAGGAAAGCTATTGAAATCTACACAGGGTGATATTAAATTGCCGTCAGCTATTAATACATTTTAAATCTAAGACATGTTACTCACTTCAAACAAGAAATCGGAAAACCCAATAGTTGCAGTTCCTGATAAGTCTTTATCATACTTTTTGAATATATCCGTCAATTTCCTCAAATAAACCAACAATTCTATAAAAGAATCAAATTTCAATCGACCAACCTCTCCACTATCTTTTAAACTGTATTTGGAAAATAAATGTAGTACTAAATCAATATCCAATTTATATCCAATTTGTTCAATAATCTTCTGAAACTCCCCAAATGATACATCGCCAGATTTATCTGCGTCTGCTTGAATGAACAACTTCTTGTATGCTGACAAGTATTTCCATAATGATACAAATTGGTCAAAATTAAGTGATTTGTTAGAGCTATAAGACGATGAAGACGAAGATCCATCACCTTGATTGGTAAATAAGCTCATCATTAACTTGATGGTTGAATCCTGGAATCTAGTATGGTCAAAATTTAACAACGCATATGACAACTCTTTGCCTGATATTCTACCAGATTTGTTGACATCCACTTTCTCAAAAACGCTCCTCAATTCAATCTCCAATTTCTGCTTTGAAGATAATGGCTTCTCATTTAAAGATTCTTTCGATTTATTCACTGGTCGTTGTTGACGTGGAGGCAGCGATGTCACAGGCGGGGGTTTTTTGCCAACCGAGCCACTACTACTACCATGGACAGACTCGTACTGATTTCGTGGCAGCTGATATTGTTGTTGAGGAGTAGGAATAGGGGCCTGTTGCGAATGATAGCTGTGCTGAGATTGTAGCTGTGGTGGTGGTGGTGCTTGTTGTTGTTGTTGTTGGTATTGCTGTGGGTGTACTGGTTGTGTATGATTCAGATATATAGGCTGGGGCAGGCCGTACTGTTGTGTATATTGCTGCTGGGATTGTGGTTGCACTTGTGGCTGTACTTGTGGCTGTGGCTGTGGCGGCGGAGGCATTTGATAAACTGGCGGTTGTTGGTACATTTGCTGTGGAGGGAAACCTGTATTTTGCGGGGGTTGCTGTTGACGATAGTAATCATTCGGTGGAGGCTGTTGATAATATTGAGGCGACTGATAGGATGCATTCGAATGCGAGCTTGTATTTCTAGATTGCTGAGGTGGCTTGTAATTGACCTTTGAGCTGCTTGAATTAGACTGTTGTGCTTGCTTTCTATTATTGTACTGTTGTTGATGCTGTTGATACGATGCCTGTTGCGGAGTCGGCATTTGTGGTAAATCGTTCATGCTTGGACAGGATAGGTTGGAGTATAGAGGGGATGGCACAGGCTTCAAAGAAATTCCGACTCTAGTATAGCTATGTTGAGTTACTATTAAACCTCCACTGAACCCTTCGTTATTATAAACAGTGTTTTTAAGAAAAAAAAAAAGAACCAAAAAAAAGTTTTGATTAAGTACAACACACGAAAGGAAAGGAATGTGGACGCATTTTGCATATTACACGACACGAAGCGCTACCATCAAAACGTTAGACACATGACGCCTCCCTATCAGCCACATTAGAATAAATATACGAGGGTCGCTTAAATAATTTATACAAAACATACTTAAATAAAATAACTTCTCCAAAGAACACCCTCTAGGTCTTGGATTTCATCTTCTTCAAACACCTTACTGTCAACATGCCAACTGTCTTGTCTATCCTTTCTAAACCGTCCAAGCGTTTCTTTAGCAGTTTTGCCCACAATACCAGGTATACCGGTACACTTATTTGCAAGGGTTGATAACAACAGTGGCATCCATTTCGGTGGAGGAGAAGCAAATGGGAAAGCACTAATTAAAGCTCCCAAACCTAAAGTGGCACCATGTAAAGCAATGTGATCAGCAGGATCGATGTTTTTGAAATTTCGTTTATATTTTGCCCTTGTATGGTCCAATTGTTGCGAGTAGGCATCACTGAACCTTTTGACAACCTCATCGACCTCATCCAATGGTAACATATGGATCAATCCTGCTAAAGTTCCAGCTTCGGCTTCTCTTACTTCAACTTGTTTGTGGTAAAGCAACGAATTGGTGATGTTGATAATTCTTCCTCGTTGGCTCTTTGTCAACTTGAACAAATTCTTAAAGAATATAGTTTCGGTGAATTCGCCAATAACAATGGACTGCACAATGTTTAGCTCTTTCTTGGCGTAAAATTCCAACATCGCAACAACATTTTCCAAGTGATGACCGCTGTATGAAATTTGAGATGCCTTTTTTAGTACTGAAATAGGGTCAATATTTCCCAACTGACAAACTTCTTTCAAGTTAATAAGCTCAAGTAAAAACGGGACAATATGAGTAGGTACGAGATCTTGAAACAATATGCTCAAGTTTGTACTGAGCTCTTGACTCAACCAAGTCAAAATGGTAGTGGCAGAGTTGATGTAGTTGGATACGAGAATCGTTTGTGGATCTAAATGAACCACCTCGGTTCTCCATTTTTCAGTTTGTGTGAATAGTTTGGGAACCTCATCAAATAGTTGTCCCTTCTTTTCATACAACAACAATTTGCTGTGGCTGTTGCAATCGTGCACAAACGTTTTGCAATCCTTGACTGCTTCAACATAGTAATTCAACGACACCACTGCCATCAAAGACCCAATCTCTTTTCTCACCAAATTGTACTTGTGATTCATATTGGCCAAACATAAACCCAAAAATCTATCAGAGTCAGCTAATCTCCATGAAGTAGAAGAAATTACCGACTTGATAAAGCTTATCCTTGTTGAATCTTTAAACGCAGAATCTGAGTTTGGATCCAATTTAAAGTTGGCAATCTCCTCAATAACCTTGTAAAACCGTCTGCAGTCGGCGTGGGCTGGAACCCAAAGACAGAAAACACCCCAGGTTGCCAGAGTTCCTGGAGATAAATCGTGCTCAAGGATCTTTTTCAAGTACTTGACCACAAAGTCATCTCTCTCCTCCCAGTACTGCGGTAAAGTATGCTTCGAACTCAACAAGATTCCAGAAAACATTTCACAAGTTACAATATTAGCACTCTTTTCTTCGCTGTCGTAGATCTCATCAACAACAGACAACAAGTCCTTGTAAGCCAACTTGGGAGTGAAGCCATTTGATATCAACATTGACAAAATCCCAATAAACATGACATCCGTAACTTGGAAAGCACTAGTGTTTTCTGCCTCGGAAACCCACATCTTTACAATCTTCAAAAGCCACTCCTTGTCAATAGAATGGCCAAGTCTCCTCAATGCGGCTTCGTCATCAGAGCTCAATTGTAATTTGTTACCCAGTTCTGGTGATACTACTTGAATGTTATCGCCCCAAAACAACCAACCGGTGTTGGGCTTTATGTCAACAAAATAATCAGGATGAGTGTAATTGCCAAGCTCGCTCACCCATTTTGACGTAAACGATTCACTACCAGAGGGTTTTGTATCCACCACTTTTAAACTCCTAACCACAAAATCCAAGTCATACAACTTCTCAAGGCTATAATCGTACTGACTAAGCACATTCAACTTGTTCAAGACCCTTGTTACCCCTTGTAATGCATGTCTCGAAATTATTGGATGCTCTGTCGAAGCTTCATCAACAAACATCTCCAACACATTTCCTCTTGTAGGGATGTCCAAATGGGCCTGTATATTCAGCAATAACTCCAGATTCAGTAAAGTAATCTTCCAATGCGAACTGTGTTCCTTTTCCTCAAACACCTTATCTTGGAGCCTTTCCAATTTGTCAAAGTACAACTTGCGTTTCTTTTCTTTTGCCAATTGAACTGCCTTAATCTCCAAATCAATGTACTGGTCAGGAGGCCTTATTTGATCAATAGCTTCGTGATCAAGCAAACACACCTTGCTGGGAGTACTAATACCTCTACCAACTCCGGCATACAAAGTCTGGGCTAGATGATAGACCTTTGGATCATCAATTTTAAGACATCTGTAAAGTAAACTGACGTACTTTTGGATATTGAGATAATCGTTTTGCAATTTTGATTTGATCCGACGCAAAGAAAACACCTTCAAAATACTTTCAATCTGTTGATGATCATTTGCATCCAACGACTTTGCGAGGTTCTTAAAGGTTGACCTTATAATATGGTTATATGATCCACTGAGTCTCCTCATACAGTCTAATAAGACCTTCTGTGCGAGTCCAGCAATGTTGGTATATGTCGAGCTAGAGAGTTTAACCACATCCTCTAGCAAAACGCGATCGAGATTAGTCTCAGACCTTGCCGTCGCATGTAATGCCACTCTCGACTCATGGTATGCCTCCAATCTAGCTCCGATGGCAATACGAGTAAATGGCTTTCTCACCCGGTTAATAGTTTGAAGATACTGAACATATCCGTAGTCAATTTCAGCTACACTGGAATCGAGAAGCCTCTCCCTACCAACATCTGACATCCAGGCATTGGTTGCAAACAATAGATTCTTGAAAATTTTGGTGTTGTCATGGAAATTACTGACTAAAAATTTGTGAATAAAGTGCAAACTTCTTCCAATTAAATGCCTCGTTTTGTGAATCTTCAAGTACAAGTCTCTGTGCTCCTTGTGGCGAGCATTATCACCAAAAAAGTAGTTTGATGTATATAAGCTCTTCTCTCTAAAGGTGATTGCCGGGTTCATCGAGGACATTTGGATCCCCTCAATTCGCGGAGTTTCCCTACCAGATAATGCTTCAGGTGCAGAGGAATCTGGCCTATCTGGAATACGGAAATGACGATGCAAAGTATGCTTGCCTTCAGGAGTAGACTTCATAGCCTCATCCTCGTCCTTTGTCTCGTGCTCATTTATTAACTCATTCATTTTGTCAAAGTCGGCAATGTAATCAATAAGATCCTCGTTGCGCAAATCATCCAAAATCTGTTGCATATTCTCACTGACTTTGTCATCATACAAAAAGTCCTTTTGTGTCGAAACATCTTTGATATCTCTTATCTGTTTTAATAAAGAAAGTCTTTGCTGAATCGATTCAGCTTCGTGGTCCAAGTTTGGAATATCTTCCTCAAATGAAGGATCCAACAAAAATGATGTCCCACTTAGTGAGCATGCGAAATACAAAAGATTCATTCTCAAATCGTCAAGAACCGAGAGCGAGGATTTAGAGTGCTCTTGTTCATAATTCTTCATCAACTCAATAACGTTCTTTGTACAAATGGTAATATGATCGTTGAAGAACTCATAAGCAAAATTAACGTCCTTTTCAGTAGGTATAAACCAGTCAAACTTGATATCCTTGAACCTATCTGGAGAGTCCCAAAAACCTCCCCAGCATTTTTCATCAACTCCGTGCTCTTTTTCATATGAAGGAGAGATCAAACGACTTTCGTTGATTCTAATTTTGGTGACTGATTGTAAGACCTGGTTAACAAAGAATGTCGACGCAAATACACATTGTCCCTTAACATGCTTCATAAGGTAGATTGAAAACTCCATCAACTCTTTGTGCATATCCACAAGCTGGGCACCTGCATTTCCAACGCAATCATCCAAGATTGTTAAATTCCAAAATAAAGCCTGGTCACGAGGAACAATCTCATCACCGGTCCTTGAAGTACCAGCACCATTTTCGTCAATTTCCTCGCGGATCTTGTCTATCAAAATGCGTGCATTCTTTTTGAATGACTTTGGATGGCGTTTGATTATGGCACCACTAATTTCACCCACAATACTAGCCTTGGTGTGATCAGTGTTGTTAAACACATAATCAAACCACTCATTCTTGAAAGTGCCAAATATATCGTCCGACATGGACTCAAACATAACAATGAAAAACTTTGGCAAAGAAATTGCCAAATCACGCTCGAGACCAGAACTTTTGGTTGGATCTGGCAAATTTTCAAGCAATGGGGGCAACTTTTGTGCCAAAGACTTGAATATTTCCTTAAACGCTGATGTTGACGACACCAACGCAGCAACTTCAGTCTCTTTGTCAACGGCAAACTCTTCAATATCCCCATCGTAAATCTTTCTCCTCAAATACTCAATATGATTTTGAGTAAACTCCATGGCAAGTGATGCATCTCCAAATTCCTTGTTGAGATCGTAAATAGGAGCATAGTTGCATATAGCAGAAAAAACTTCCAATGTCTGTAATGTCTTTTCCAAGTCATTGGAGTCGATACCTGGTAATATCAACAGGAGAATGCGTGTTAAATGGACCCGGAAAATGGGTGTGGACACAATAGACCTCGCCATCGAGTCAATCATTCTTAAAGCGTTGATGACACGATGAGTCGATATGACCCCTTCCAATGATTCGTATATGTCCAACAAAGTGTTATCCAAAACATAATTAGGCTCAAGGAAGGCCAAAAGTTGAAGTGCAGTTACATACTCAACTGAAGCATCATCCTTTTTTGAATGAATACCTGTCTTTACTACTGGAAGCATAATTTTGACAAACTCTTTAACCACTTTTGGCGAAAGCTTCACCTCAGATGGGATATTGTAAAGGTTGCCATCGGGTTGTGTTTCCAAATTGTAGCGCTTGTGAAATTGATATATGAATGCCAAGACTGTTCTAGATATTGCCCTAGTCCACTCACCCGTGTTTGATGGATGAATGTAGCTCTCGATTGCATTGATAAGTGTTTTCAAATAGTAGATTATTCCATTCTCTTCCAAAGCTGTGTCACCAACAATTGAAAACACAACTGCAGAAGCAAATCCGTGAAAGTATTTCAGTTTCTTTGACGCATATTTTTCATTTCTAATACTCAAACTGTTCATCAACTCATTGAATAAAAATTCCATTTGGTCGGCAGACAAGATACCAAATCTTCCCAACTTGACAGTTTCCCTAGACTTTTTGTCGTCGTGCATTTTGAACAACGTGGACATTACTATAACCCCCAATCTTCCTGTAATGTGGTCATCAAGTCCCTTGCTTTTATTAATTTTAAGCCACATGTAAAACAAAGGGCACAAGTAGTGGCGAATATCGTATTCGTCATCGACACCACCAGGAGTAAAATTTATGGGCAACAATGCAAAAGAAGATATTGTTAAAGCCGACGTGTTGACAGAAAAGTTGGAACCCAATTTTTCAAATATCAAGGGCAAACTTTTGGGGTCGAAAAAATAGGAAGCTTTCGATGCCAATTTGCCCAACTGCTTCTGGTCCTTCTTTTCAAATGGACCCAAGGCTTGATCTGGGATGGGGAATAAATGCTGCAATTCTTTGTACAAGTCCTGCCATGGCAATCTCAACCCTCCGTCATAAAGTAGTTTCTGGTCCTTTGTCAAAATCTCAAAAACACGCACATAAGTTTTTATTCCAATATGCTGGCCTCTGCAAAGACATAAAGCGTAATAGACTCGAGCCAATTTTACCCGCAATGAAACAGGCATCTCGTACTTCATTTTAAGCCAAATCAACAATTCATGGGTCCAAGTGCGTACCGTGACTACTGCCGCTGACTTAGGTGATCGTTTATGCTGAACAGTTGCATCTTTGTCATTCTCGTCCTCTTCTAATTCTCCTTGATCATCACTATAATCGTCCGAATCCTCATCTGAGGAATCAAGGTCGTCCGTCATGGGCTCATCCTCATGTGTTTCGGCAGTATTAATCTCAAACAAGTTAGTCTCCAACGCAATATCAACATCTGATATGGAGTCTCTCAATGCTGCCAAGTCTTTGGCACTTATAGTCAATGTTCCTTGTATGTCCAAGGACTTGATGGCAATATACAAATGCGATATAATGTGACTCAAAAATTTGGCCTGTTCCTCGGGGGTTTCGATCTTGTATGGCATCAACAGTGGTGGGTTCAATGTTCTAGGTCTGGACCTTGCATAGAACCTAGAGGCAGGATCCAATTGCAATTTTGCCAACTCTTTGCCATCCTTGGGGTAATCCAAATTGTAATGTTTTTCTCTCGAATGGACGATTGTGTTGTACGATGGACGTCTTGCAGTTACATGTCTTTGTAACGAGTCCCAGGTTGTTGGTGTAAATGGCCTTGCATTGTCTTCCAAGTGAAGCGCAGCCTGCCCTTCTGGGTGTCTAAGCTGACTTGTAATTGAAGCTGCAGTTCTTATCGGTATCGGAGAAGAGACACCCGCCAATTTGGCGTTCTTGATCCTATCTTCTTTATCAGACTCAGGATGTGACATTGGGTGCTAATATAGTGATAAGTGTCAATTGATCGATGTAAGTTGTAAATGTTGCAAAAATGACTGCGAGTGGCAATATTTAAATTTCTTGGGGGTGAGAATGAGAATGAAAAATGTGAGCGAGACTTCCAAAAGAGGAGAGACAGACGGCGAAAAAGAGACAAACTGAAAAGGTAACAGAATATTCTCATTAGTTGGGACAGTGGAGAGGAAATGAGAGTATAAAGTCCCTTTATAAACCCTTAATCCTTAGCAATGAGGAGCACCTCACTATTTGGAGACTAAGCTGATGTATTGTTGGGATATCTCTCCTCTTTAAAAAAAAACCTCCATGATGTAATCTAAAATGATGGTACTGCATATAAACACTCTCATTTGCGGCGTGTCTATTTGGAAATTTCTTTTTTGTGAAGAGCCTTTTCAATGAAACAAAAAAAAAATAAAAAATTTAATTTTTCAATCTTCCCTTCTTCTTCTTCTTCTTCTTCTTGTTGCTATATTCTTTTTTTCTATTCAAATATTACTTATACATACAATTAGCACATAGCAAACAAAAGATGTCTGTATCAGCTTCAAAAGCCAAGAGAGAACAAAAGCGTTTGGAAAGAGAGGCCAAGAAAGCATCCGAGGGAAAGAGTCTTAAAAAGACCAAGAAACAAGTTGAAAGAGATGCAGCAGAGGATGACGTTGCCGATGCCAGTGAACAAGTTGCTAAAATGAAATTGCAAACAGATGAGCATGGATTGTCCGATAGAGTCACCACTGGTGTTTTGGACTCGTTGAAAACATCAAGAGATATCAAGTTGTCGTCTGTTTCTCTTTTGTTCCATGGTAAAGTTTTGATTCAAGATTCAACTTTGGAATTGAACTATGGCCGTAGATACGGTTTATTAGGTGAAAACGGGTGTGGTAAGTCTACTTTGTTGAAATCTATTGCTGCAAGAGAGTTTCCAATTCCAGAACATATCGATGTCTACTTGTTGAATGAACCAGCAGAGCCAACCGACTTTTCGGCATTAGAATATGTGGTTAGAGAAGCCGAGCACGAATTAAAGAGATTGGAAGATTTGGTTGAAGATTTGATTATAAAGGAGGGTCCTGAATGTCCTGCTTTGGAAGGTATTTATGAAAAGATTGATGAAATGGATCCATCCACTTTTGAATCTAGAGCAGCTATCATTTTAACCGGTTTGGGTTTCAACGGCGTCACCATCAAAAAGAGAACAAGAGATATGTCTGGTGGATGGAGAATGCGTGTAGCCTTGGCCAAAGCTTTGTTCGTTAAGCCTACTCTCTTGTTATTGGATGACCCAACTGCCCATTTGGATTTGGCTGCTTGTGTTTGGTTGGAAGAATATATGAAGAGATTCGACAGGACTCTTATATTGGTTTCCCATTCCCAAGATTTCCTTAATGGTGTTTGTACCAACATGATTGATATGAGAATGAAACAATTGCAGATTTATGGTGGTAACTACGACTCGTATGTTAAAACGAGATCTGAATTGGAAACCAACCAAATGAAACAGTACAACAAACAACAAGAAGAAATTGCTCATATCAAGAAATTTATTGCGTCAGCTGGTACTTATGCTAATTTGGTTAGACAAGCAAAGTCAAGACAAAAGATTTTGGACAAGATGGAAGCTGATGGATTGATTCAGCCAGTTGTTCCTGATAAGGTTTTCACTTTCAGATTCCCTGACGTTGAAAAATTGCCACCTCCAGTGTTGGCTTTCGATGACATGTCATTCTCATATTCCGGTAAGGATGAAGACAATCTTTACGAGCATTTGGATATTGGTATTGATATGGACTCAAGAGTTGCCCTTGTTGGACCAAATGGTGTGGGTAAATCAACCTTGCTTAACTTGTTCCAAGGAAAATTAACTCCACAAACAGGTAGAGTTATCAAACACACACATATAAAATTGGGAGTTTACTCACAACATTCAGCCGATCAATTGGATTTAACCAAAACCCCATTGGAATTTGTTCGTGATAAATTCGCCTCAATTTCCCAAGATTACCAATACTGGAGAGGACAATTGGGCCGTTATGGATTAAGTGGTGAGTCACAAACGGCACAAATGGCAACTTTGTCCGAAGGTCAAAGATCGCGTGTCGTTTTCGCCTTGTTGGCTTTGGAAGCACCAAACTTGATCTTGTTGGACGAACCTACAAACGGTTTGGATTTGTCAACTATTGATTCCTTGGCTGACGCCATCAACGCTTTCAACGGTGGTGTGGTTGTCGTCTCACACGATTTCAGATTGCTTGACAAGGTTGCCAAGGACATTTTCGTTATTGAAAACAAAACCGCAACCAGATGGGATGGCTCAATCTTGGACTATAAGAAATCATTGGCCGACAAGGTTGTACTTTAAGGTTTGTATTTATTCAAGTAAAAAGGTGTAAATTTATAGATTAATTAAAGGAAGTATTTAAAAAGAAGAGAGGGTGTAGTTCTAGTGTGTGTGTGGATGGGTGTGGGTATCTTAACTAATGTGATGCCCAAAAAAACAAAAAAAGTAACCTGGACGAGATAAGAATCGAACTCATGACCTTTCCCATGCTAAGGGAACGCGCTACCAACTACGCCACACGCCCTGATTTATGTTTTTGTTATTAGTTGAAAATACATACTCTTACAAACCAGAACACGTTTCTTCTACTTGAAATTTTCATCCAGGGCTTTATCAACGTTATTTAAACACAGTTAAACTGCGTAGGTTATTTGAAATGCAGTGGGAGTTGAATCTAACGTATTTTTTATTAAATGAAAAGATAAGTGTTTGAATTTTAGACTTTTTTCAATGAACTTTTTGATTTCAAACTTGTGTTTGTATTTAATTTTGCTCCATTTTTAACAAAAGAATTAAAATTGAGGTAAAGTTGTCATAGAAATGAACTGTTATTTTGAGAAAGCCTATAGTAGAGATACCTGGGGTACTAGAGATCTAAAGGTAGGGGTATTGTATGTTCTGGATGTTCTCGCAAAGCTTCGGAAATGGTCGACATATACCTTACAAGCTATCAACAATGTTGTACAGTAAGACTTGTTTCTCAAAACAAAATCAATTCTTTAGCTGTTGCCTTAATAGACTAATAGCCTCATCAGACGCTGGAAATGGAAAAGGTTAACGGTTCTGAGTGCAAGACTACCTGCCCCACTATCTGCTCTACCCAAGCCACCCAGAAAAATTAAAAAGAAATAGTACCAAGGCGCTTCGAGGCTTGCCACAGAATACCCCACCATGTAGGACTTAGCACTGTCTTACATACGGCTTCTCTCATTTTTTTTTCCTTTGTGAGATTTATCCTGTCTGGGGCTTTGTAAAATAAGTCAAGAAGTAGTGACAGAGGGGTAGGCAATCACGTAGCAGACCACTTCCTGTAGTGTGCCGTTTAAACCTTGATGTTGTTTGGAAAATGGATAACAGGTGCACAAATGGTGGAGAAATGTCTAGAAATGGTAATGCCGTCAAAATTAACTTTAGAGTTTTAAGCTTTGCTCGAGACATATTTCCTCTTTTAGTTGACAAAAAAATGGACAAAAACCAGTCTTAGCCAACAATGATGCTGTTGTTCTTAGCTTAATCTAATTACTCGCTTACTAGAAATTAGCTGCTACTTTCAGTTTCTAGAGCGTACTGAATTCTACTGCAAGATTTGAATAACCCTCAATGGACATCTGTTTTATTTTTGTGTTATCTGGTTTTTTTTCGGCGTCTCCCAGTTTCGGGATTAATCGACAAAAGAAGATTCCATTTTTTATTATTATTATTATTATTATTTTTCAAATACCGATGGCAAAAAAAAATATCATCCAAAACACTTTGAATCTGCAATAGTCAAAAATATCATATACATATCTCCTCTTTCTCTCTTCTCCGTCGGTTAAAAACCCCGCACCCACTTTTCTCCCTCTTTTGTTCGTATACACTACCTATATTAAAAGGTGGTGGAGGCTTCATTTAGATGGTGGCTTTAAATCTTTTTAATACCATCAATAAAAACTTTTAGTAGAGATGCAACTTTTATGGAATTTCAGTGACATAACAATTATTAGAGAGTGAAGGAGAAAGCCAATAAAACAAAACGTTTGATAAGTAATGCACACGCATATAAAAAATGACTGCCGGCAATTCATTTTTCTTGGTTTCTTTTAAGTATTGTATTCTTCTTATTGTTTGGTAGATGCACACGATAAAATTTTTTTTGTTTTTTTTTTTTGTTTTTCGGTGAAACAACTGGAGGTAACTAGCTGGAACAGGACACAAATCTAGAACTATCCTAAAACTCTAAACTCCTATGAAAGCTTTGAGAGAGAGAGAGAGAGAGAGAGAGGGAGAGGTGGGGTCAAACTTCTTGCATGACTAATTTTTCCTTCCTTTTAAAAGAAAAAAGAATAATTTATATATATATATATATTTAATTTGTCGCTTTCTAAGACAAGCCTTTGGTGTCTAGGATAAGCTTTTGGTTTCTACCTGTTAAAGTGGTCCCATTTGAACAAACTTTATAATTCGGCATTTGTTTTTTTCTTCTCTACTGCTGTGAGAGTGAATAGCTTATTACGAAAAAGGCAAAAGAATGTGTATTATTTGTTTGCTTAAAAGAGTAATAACTCACAAACCAAGTTTATTTTTTTTTAATTTAAAGCCCCGTAAACAAATAATTATAGAGCAATTCGTTGTTTTGTGTAATTCAGATCGGCTTATGACCTTCGCTTTTTTAATTGCCAGAAAGACAATAATACATACAGTAATAGACTGCGGAAATATTTAAAACTTCGTTGTCTAATCGTTTTGTCTTGGTTACCGCAATAGGCATCTGTTTATTCGATTTGTATGTGCCTCATTTTCTACTTTCTTGATTTAGTAATGAAATTGATCTAGTGTTCTAGGTAAGCCTTGTTAAGACTCTACTATGATAGTTTTCAGTAGTTCTTTTACAAATACGAGAAGAGACATTCACTAAGAAGTATATATATCAACATAATCCCGGTTTCCAATATATTTCTTTAAGTAGAGACCCGACCCCATTTGAAGTGACTAACAAAAACTTGATACCCCCTACACAGACATAGTCAACTATTACTTTACAATCGCTTTTCTTTTCAACTAGAGTATATAGGACATTTACAAAATCATGTCTAGAACCCACTCATATTCAAAAAACGAGCAAAATCGCTCTACCAACCATCTCCTGGTGCCTAATCCCATACGAGTGCGGGATTCACAGAGAGGCCAGCGTCACTATCAACAAACAAACCAGCTGTATAGCAACCCATATTTCCACAACAGTGATGTTTACTCCACCGTGGATTCAGGCTCTGACACTACGTTCGCATACATCGAGCAACATCCAATACCACTGCCAAGATTCAATCAACGCATGGAACCCATCGTCGCTACCAACAATTCATCATTTGAAAAACACCCGCACACGCACACGCAATCACATATTTCGTACAATTCAGTATCGTCTTTGGGCTCATTAGAATCACAACCACAACTCCAAAATGAAAAAAGACTATTTTCATGGCTATTTTCTAAAAAAGTTCCACCAATTTCGACTGAAGAAGAAAGAAAAGAGTACCCATGGCACAAGACAAATTTAATTAACCGTATGGGGTTTTGGTGGTTATGGCCCGTATTGAAAAAGGGCTACAAACGTACTTTACACCCTGATGACTTGTTTGCGCTAACTCCCAAATTGAAAGTCGAGTACATGTATGAGCAATGGGAGAAACATATGAATAAAATAGTTGGTGATCTCGACGATGCCAAAAAACCATGGCCAAGATACGCTATTCCCTTGGCTTTATTTCTCACTTTTAAATGGCAGTACACATTCTCGTGTATTTGCTTAGCGTTGGCTTTCGTTTGTATTGCAACGTCACCATTGGTGACACGACAATTGATTGATTTTGTCGAGTACAAGTATTTTGGAGTGTACACCACTTATAATCGAGGAATTGGACTTACATTTGCTGCTGTCATCCTTATATTTGTCAATGGATTGCTACTTAACCATTTTTTCCACAATTCTATGATTTGTGGTGCACAAGCTAAAGCTATATTAACTAAGGCATTGTTAAAGAAGCTGTTCAACTTAAACGCAAAATCGAGATACTTGTTTCCTGCTGGCCGGGTGACGAGTTTGATGAGTACTGATTTATCAAGAATTGACTTGGCCATTGGGTTTCAACCCTTGGTATTGTGCTTCCCTATTCCAATGGTTATAGCGATTGTTATATTGATCATCAACATTGGTGTATCGTCCTTGGCTGGTATTGGATTGTTTATCGTTTCCCTTGCAATCTGTGTCTTGCTCATTACGAAGTTGTACACCACTAGAGAAAAAGTTGTCAAGTATACTGATGAGCGTGTTTCATTAATGAGAGAGATTTTGAACAATCTCAAGGTCATCAAGTTTTACGCATGGGAAATGGCTTATAAAGCATCAATTTTGAAAATCAGACACAAGGAGATGAAGTACTTGTTCACCATCAAAGTTTTGCGTAACTTCATCACAGCTTATGCTGTTACAATGCCGGTGTTAACCTCCATGCTTTCATTTATAACCTTGTGGGCTACAGACCACATGCAATCACCCGGTAAGGTCTTTAGCTCGTTGTCGTTGTATGCTATTTTGGCACAAGCCATTATGTTGTTGCCCATTGCATTGTCCACTGGCGCTGACGCATTAATCGGGTTCCAAAGATGTAACGACTATTTATCAGCTGAAGAGTTTACCGAGGAAGTTAACAATAGATTGTTATCCTACGAAGACAAGTTTTACAATGGCGAAATTAGCAATGTTGCAATTCAGGTCAAGCATGCAGATTTCACCTGGGAGAGCCACCAAGATGATTTAGACATGGAGTTGTGGAAAGAGCACCCGAAGAATAAGGAAAAAACTGATGCAGACAGCGATATTGGTTCAATGGACACATATGCATCAAATCACAAATTCAAAGGATTAACCAATGTCAACTTGACCATCAAGAATGAAGAATTTATCATCGTAACCGGTATGATTGGATCAGGTAAAACATCGTTATTGAATGCCCTCGCTGGTTTTATGAAAATCTCCAATGGATCGATTATCCGCAACAAAGAAGTGTTGCTTTGTTCAACAACATGGATCCAAAATGCCACTGTCAGGGAAAATATCCTTTTTGGTAAACCCTTTGACGCACACAAATACCAACAAGTCTTGTTTGCATGTGCATTAGAAGATGATATGGCGATTTTGCCAGCTGGTGACAGGACTGAAATTGGTGAACGTGGAATCACATTATCGGGTGGTCAAAAGGCAAGAATTAACCTTGCGCGTGCTTGTTATGCCGATGCCGATGTGCTCCTTTTTGATGACGTTATTTCGGCCGTTGATGCCAAGGTGGCCAAGCACATTGTCGTGCATTTATTTAGGGGCTTGTTGCGTGATAGGACTATAGTTTTAGCTACTCATCAGTTGGGAGTTTTAGAATTCGCCGACAAGGTGGTATTCGTTGACGATGGGTCCGTTTATGCTGGTTCAGTCGATGAGCTAATTGCCAAAAGAGCAAGTTTCCGCACCTTGGTTGAGCATGGAAGAGAGTCGAATGGTGCTGATGATGACGAGGATGATCTTGCCAATTCGGATTACAAAGTCCATACAAGCGGTATGAAGATTGTGAATGATGAAGACTATGATCTTACAGGTAGAACAACAACCGAGGAAGGACGTGCGACCAATGCTATTTCGTGGTCCATTTATAAAAAATACATTGATTTAGGATCGGGTGTATTTGGCAAGTTTGCTGCTCCGTTGTTTGTCATCCTTATTGCAATTGCCACATTCTGTCAAGTGTTTACCAATACTTGGCTCTCATTTTGGGTGGAGAAGAAATTCAAAGATCGTAGTGACCATTTTTACGTGGCAATTTATGTCATGTTTGCATTCTTGACTGTGATATTTACTGGTATTGAGTTTAGTATGTTGGCATATATGCAAGACTGTTCAGCCAACAAACTCAATTTGAAAGCTGTTGAAAAGATTTTGCATGCGCCAATGTCATTTATGGATACAACGCCCTTGGGAAGAATTTTGAATAGATTCACTAAGGATACTGACTCTTTGGATAATGAAATTGGTGAACAAATGAGATTATTTGTCTTTCCCCTGGCTTTGATTATTGGTATCATTGTCTTGTGCACTTGCTACTTGCCATATTTCGCCGTTGCCATCCCATTTTTGGGATTTGCATTTGTATTCTTGGCTAATTTCTATCAGGGTTCATCAAGAGAGATCAAGAGATTGGAAGCAACTCAAAGGTCATTGGTTTACAACAATTTCAATGAAACATTGACGGGTATGGCAACGATCAAGTCATTCAAAGCCGAAGATGACTTTATTAGAAAGAATGATTACTTTATCAACAGGATGAATGAAGCTTATTACTTGTCGATTGCTACACAACGTTGGCTATGTGTTCACTTGGATATCATCACGTCAGCAGTTGCTTTGATCGTTTGCATGCTTTGTATCACTGGTCAATTCAACATTAGTGCTTCATCAACTGGGTTGTTATTGAACTACGTTTTGCAATTGGTTGGAGTATTGTCGTTGACCATCAGATCAATGACTCAAGTGGAGAATGAAATGAACTCGGTTGAAAGGTTACATGAATATGCTTACAGATTACCTCAAGAGGCGGCATACACAAAGGAGACCCAACCTCCAAAAGATTGGCCACCTTCGGGCTATGTTACCTTCAAAGACGTGACACTCCGATACAGACCAAACCTTCCACCAGTGTTGCAACACTTGGATGTGAATTTCTACCCCGGTGAAAAAGTAGGTATTTGTGGAAGAACTGGTGCTGGAAAATCTTCAATCATGTCGGCATTGTATAGATTAATTGAGTTGGAGGATGGGAAAATTGAAATTGATGGGTTGGATATATCAACAATGGGATTGTACGACTTGAGATCGAAATTGTCAATTATCCCACAAGACCCAGTACTTTTCCAAGGAACAATAAGAAGAAACTTGGATCCATTCAATGAGCATGAGGATTACAAATTGTGGAAAGCATTATGCACCGCCGGCTTAATCCCCCAAGATCAAATGACGCAAGTTGCATCCATGAAGTATTCCCCCACTGAAGGAATAGGTTACAATTCACTCCACAAATTCCACCTCGACCGAATTGTTGATGATGATGGGGCAAACTTTTCCCTTGGTGAAAAACAATTGATTGCTTTGGCCCGTGCCTTGGTGCGTGACACCAAGATACTTATCCTTGACGAAGCCACAAGTTCAGTTGATTTCGCCACTGATTCAAAGATCCAAGAGACTATAAGCTCTGAGTTTAGACATTGTACCGTGTTGTGCATTGCCCATAGACTTAAAACAATCTTGAACTATGATCGGGTGCTTGTGATGGATAAAGGTGCCATTGTGGAGAAGGGTGATCCTTGGAAGTTGTATAACGATAGAGGAGTATTTAGGTCCATGTGTGATAAGGCCAACATTAATGATGATGACTTCTAGTTGGACGTGTATAAGTTAGATGTAAGTGAAAAATAAAAATGTATTAGAAATAGATTATCAAGCGATGGGTAGACCTTTAGCATATATAGAAGTTGGATCTTGTCTTTCCGCAAATATCGCGGTTTTTCAAAAATGGTATTACACAAACCTGACAAAAGTTAAAAAAAATTTCAATGGAGTCATTATTTTCTGTTTTCTGTTTTTTGAATCATCTTTCTCTCTTTGCAATCACAAACCGTCAATGCGAATCATCGGAATAAATCGGAAATAAGTTTTTTTTAAAACAGAGATCATGATCTTATTGCCGCTGGTGCGGTGGTGTAGACTATGATTAGCTTCTGCCTAAATTTAGAACAGGATTACTCGCGTTACGTCGCCAGCCGTTGTGACTATAGCGGATTAACTCTTTAGTTATTGTCAAACGACGATGAGTTTAGTGCTCTTTCGTGAAATGCTTCCCAAGAGAGTTTTTATTGACTACAGCGCGACAATTGTATCACTCAGTAGAAGGTTCCACTGTACTCTTACTGGGATAAAGCACCGCAAACATGCACTGAAACACGGGCACTGCTAGAAGGTTCCAATGTTTTTTTGCGTTGCATTTAATACATCATGCATAGTGTTCTGTTTTGTTCCACTACTGTAAGAAAAGAAAAAAGAAAAAAAATTTTTTTTTCAACCAATAAAAGTTTTGCAGTTTGAAATAAACAAACTGTAAAGCATTCTCTCTTTGAAAAATCGTATAAAAGCAAACAATTGACCATCCAAAAAAGAATTTCATTCCCAAGCTCCCTTCTTTTTTTTTAAGAGATAGTTTTTATTTTATTTTTGCCATAGCTACTTTTCCTCCTCAATTATTATAATCAAACCATGCCAGCTCCATTTGAAAAAGGTTCAGAAAAGAAAGGTGCTACTTTGTTCAAAACCAGATGTTTGCAATGCCACACTGTTGAAAAAGGTGGTCCAAACAAAGTTGGTCCAAACTTGCACGGTGTCTTTGGTAGAAAATCAGGTCAAGCTGAAGGTTACAGTTATACTGACGCCAACAAGAAGAAGGGTGTTGTTTGGAGTGAACAAACCATGTCTGACTACTTGGAAAACCCAAAGAAGTATATCCCAGGTACCAAGATGGCTTTCGGAGGTTTGAAGAAACCAAAGGACAGAAACGATTTGGTCACTTACTTGGAGAAAGCTACTTCTGGTTAAAGCTTTTCGTTTAAAACCTTTGTTTTGTTTCTTCTCCTTTTGAAATTAGAGAATTGTCTGTTTTACACCTCAGATATTTGAATGTATTTATTGCCACCCACATCCATTGATAGAATGTTTAAAAAAGATTTATAATGAGTTGCGAGAGATTGTTGCTTTTGGAAGACATTAATCCATTTGTTGCTAATTTCAATCTGTTTTTTTTGTTCCACTGTATATAATTTTGATATAAATAAAAGAACCAGGCTTTTTTGTTAGCATTGAGCAGTTTGTTTAAGGATTCAATTGTTCTCTTCCAGTTTGAGTAGTAGCCTTCTCCAGTTGAGTGTTATTGACAGGTAACTCTCATCTCGGCATTTTGTTACATCAAAGAGATCGGCGCGGAAAAATCAAACTCCTGCTTCATTTTAAATTTTTTTTTTTTCCAACCAGATCCACCCGAATCCATTTCCTTCTTCGCCCCAGAGCAATGAATAACAATACAAAGATACCAGTTGAGGTCAATCCCGACGAGGATACTGAATGGAATGATATTCTTCGTGACCATGGGATTATCCCAGAAAAGCCACCCTCCCCTTCCGCCCAATTGGAGGAGGCATTGGAAGAAGCAGTTAGGAAGCAACATGAAAATAGGCTAGAAAATAAGGATATAGATGAACTAGATGCACTAGAGGACAAAGAGGATGAAGAGTTTCTCAATTTCTACAAACAAAAGCGAATGAATGAGATAAAGAAGTTGTCGGAGAAGAAAAAATACGGGCTGGTCTTGCCAATTAGCAAAAATGAGTATGAAGATGAAGTTACTAAAGCGCCAAAAGGAACTACCGTATTGGTTCATTTGTCCCTCCAATCAAGTTTACAAAGCAGGCTATTGGGGTCGCTATTGACCGAAGTTGCTAGAAAATTTCCAGAACTAAAAGTCTGTGATATACCAGCTCAAAGGTGCATTGAGAATTATCCCGAGTCTAATTGTCCTACCCTTATAGTATACAAAGATGGGAATGTATTAAAGCAGTATGTGACGTTGACTCAAATGGGTGGAAACGCTACGACATTGAAGGATATAGAGAGGATTTTAGTCGACCTTCACGCGGTGGGTGATAGTGACAAAAGGCTTATAATCAACGATGAGGACGAAGATTCGCAGCAGGCGAGGTCATTACGTTTCGCAAAGAAATCAGTTAGAGGCAAAGGCGACAACGACGACGACGACGATGATGATGACTTTTATGATTAAAAATCCGCGACACAAACTTAGTCACGACACTATCCTTAGTCTTTTACATAACATTTTAGAGAATACACATACAATTTTTGCAACACATTTTACACACTTTATGAGAAAAAAGGAATACCAACTGACCAACATTTGCTCCCCTCAGTTTCTAATATAATGACATCTATCGTGAAAGCACAAGTTAGTGACGTAATCACCGAAGTTGAAAGTGCAGTGAGTAGAATATCTACAAAATCCAGTTCAAAACCATTAAATTTACAGAGTGGTGACGATGTTTCAGTTAGATTAGCTTCAATCAACTTGGGATATCATCTAGAAGATGATGAAATAGAAAAGGGCATTGTTAATGTGAAAAGCAGTGGACTTGAAAAAACCGTCTTTCATACCGAAGGGGTTACTATCAACAGTGTAAAGGGGAGTATGAAAGATACAGAGAATAACAAAATAGATGATTACACTGAATCAGCCATCAACTATCCCAGAAAGGAAAACGAGCCAGCTTTCGTCAATATAGAACCTACCTCGCCCTCGGAGTTGGCAGCTTCTCTACCTCCATATAAATGCTACACCACCAACTTCAAAGATGTACAGTCTCTCAAGAGCAAACAAGGAGGTTTCATAAATTCCGTTACTAGGGTAGATGAAAACAAGTTTAATCCAGTCAGCAAAACGTTGAGTATGGAAACCAATGTGAGACAGTTTAAATTGTCAAGCAATACAGTGCCACATTGTTATTCACCGTTATTGGCTAATAGTCCTATTGGAGATGAGTCTCAAAAGAACCAAGTCAACTTTTGGATAAATAACGATTATGATCAGTTTTTTGGAGTAAACAACTTCAAGAGAGAGATCGAACTAGCAAAGGCTATGAGGTTTGATGACGGTGTTGTTCCTGGATTGACAGGTGAACACGCCATTTACATCAACACGAGAATCATAAACCCTGATAAAATTTTAAATGCATATTTAAAAGAAGGCATGAACAAAAAGGATCTATTTATTGATTTGATTTTGAACAACAAAGGATGTAATATTTTGCTTCAATTGTTGAAATATTTTAAGTACAACGATACCAAATTGAAGTCACGCATTGGTTCAATATACATAAGAATCCTGGCATCTTATGTCAATCAGATGAAGGTGTTGTTCAATTTGCTAGTTGAGAATGACGTCTTTTATCAAAAAGTGAAATCATTGGGATTATTTGTTGGATTGCATCAATATGGCAATGGCTACGTATTTGGGTCACCCGAGGACATATCAATAAAGCTCCCACTGATGTTGGAAAAGTTAGTCGTTGCCAACGGAATGAGCCTTGCAGATTTTGCTCTTTTGCCAGTATCAATTCAAGAAATAACATTACACAATGTTGGTGGGGTAAACTTTAGCAGGTTCAACCTAAACAAAAATCTTAAGCAATTAAGTATCAGTGGTGGAGGACCTTTCAACAATCGCTCTGAGAAATTTCCTAAAGGTTTCTTGGAATTGGAAAAGTTGAGATTAGAGTCACCAGTAGTGGCAAACTTTAACTTTAAGCGGTTCACTCATTTGTCCACCTTGAGCTTGCTGAATTTGACTTTTGCAAATACAAAAGTTCTAACCTTTCCGGTATTGTTAAAGAAGTTGGAGTTGGTTGATTGTTGTATCAGCTCACAGGCTTCAGCATTTCCCGACACTTTAAGAATTTTGACTGTTATCAACGGGAAATGGAGTTCCAAAACTTGTATTTTCAACAAGTTGCAAAGATTTCGAGTCGAGAACTGCGAAGTGAAGGATTTGCACGAGAAGATTGAGTGTTGCAAGTCCCTACTCAAGTTGGAAGTAACTAATTGCTTCATTGATATGAGCAAATTCAAGTTTCCTCATAGTTTAAAAGTACTTAAATTGATTGGGATTTCATTGAAGGGGATTAAAGTTTCTGCATTTCCTCCTTTGTTGGAAGTTGTCAATTTGGAAGCAAATGATTTTGCTTTGGTTTTGCCCAAGTTGAAGTTGAAAGCGGTTAGAATTGCTTCAAATAGGTTGTTTGGAGATGTTGCTTTGCAGGATGTGTCAGCACAGGATGTAATTCTATCTGATAACGCAAAGCTTGAGGGTGTTACGTTGAGTCCTCAGACTAATTACCTCAATGTGACGAATACTCCAGTTGTGTCTTTAGTTGGCCATGGCCTAACAAAATTAATTCTTGATGGATGCAAAGAGTTCAAGTGGCAGGAATTTAGAGTACCACCCCAGTTGTTGCAATTAAGCATGAAGGAGTGTAATTTTGTTGAAGTCGACTATAAAGAAGTCAACAGAAGTTTAAGAACCATCAATCTTTCGAGAAACAAGTTGACAAGACTTGACTTGAGAAACTTTACAGAATTACAAGACATCGATGTTTCTCACAATAACTTGTCCAAGTTGAACGCCGAAGATTTCCCACTGTCTACAACCTCAATTAATGCCAAGAATAACGTGATTGCCGAAGTTAGTCTATTCAGTTTGACAAACTTGGAATGGTTGGAAATCAGTGAAAATGAACTCACACGGATTTCCGAGCTTGGTATGCCTGATGAATTACGGACCTTAATCGCAAATGACAACAACTTCAAGGAGGTTACAGCAGAAGGATTTCGATTACCAACAAACTTGCGTCACTTGGAGTTGAATAGGTGCAAAATATCCAAATTTGTTGCTGCGTTTCCACCAAAGTTGATGTCGTGCAGCTTGATTGAAAATCAGCTCCGGGAAACAGAGTTTTCGGTATCGTTTACTGCCCCACCTTCGAATTTGAAGTTTTTAGATTTGAGTAGTAATTACTTTAAATCATTTGACTTTGAAATGATTTCGGGTGTTGGAATGGAGTTGTCTGAAATTAATTTTGCTAATAACATGTTTGATGAGGTTCCCAAAATTCCCGGTAATATCTTGTCAGCAATATTGTTCAAGAAATGAGGTCAGCTCGCTATGTATCTATATAGGATAAATGATTACTAAGTAAAGTTCTGTCGTAGACTGATTGAGAAATGAGGCGTCGATTAAAGGACAACGCTGTTGACATTATATTTATAGATGGAAGAGAGATTGCAGCTCATGCATATTTACCCTCCTTGCGTTTATCCCAAGACGGTAGAAACCCAGCTTAACAACTTTTGCAATGGCCACAATGCCCTCGAAAAGACAGCAAGCTTGAAACTTAAAATGGAATAAGTGGCACAAGAGGAATCCATTGTTGCAAGATGAACAAGAAAAAAAAGAAAAAAAAGAAACCCAGATCAAAGTTGGGATATAATGAGTCTCCGATTAAGGTACCAAATAATTCAAACAACGCAGTTTCCATATCCCTATCACAACACATTATTTTTGTTCTTGTTTCGGCACTACCTAGGAGTTTATTAAAACTTCACTCCATCTATACCAACCCATTTTGCATTGTTTTTCCGTTTGATTCCAACTTTCTTTTTTTTTTCAACTCATTCATATTTTCTATTTTTGCATTTTGTTACAACGAATAATGTCATCACGAAAAACGACCCCTGTACCTCAAAAGCTTGAACTAGTAAATGGCAGGAATATCAAAAGTGGATTCCATAATGATTCTTTTGCACTATCTAATGGAATCAAGGAGGATAAATGCACATCGAAGCAACTTCCGTGCTTTCAACCCGATAACTTTGAGTCGATAGAGTCATGCATACATTTAGATCAAGTCTTGGATTCTCGCGCAAGGGAGACTGTATTTGACACTTATCGACAGGCAGTTATGATCTCCGAACCTATATATGAGCCGGTTGTTTACAAGTCTAAAAAGGACGGCACGGTGATCAGTCACGATAAAGTACTTTCTAAAAAGCTATCGAGTTTAAAATGTACTGAGTGTGAGGTGTCCAACTTTGGTCAAGTCATGATATGCTTACAGTGCCCCCATGTTGGATGTGCAGAACATTCACAATTGCATTATAAGGGCACCCTGCATATGTTTGCCATTGACCTGAATTTGGGCTTGTTGTATTGCTTCAAATGCAATTCGTATATCAACCATTCCGAGCTAGAAAAGTTGAGACTAGAAGCAATGGGGATTACTGAAGTTAACAGGGGAGATCAAGAGAACATCCCTGACAATTACACGAGCCCCAACAAACTTGCTGCTCAAGGTCTCAAAGGATTTGTCAACTTGGGAGCTACTTGTTTCATGAGTTCGACTTTACAAACCTTTGTGCATAATCCTATTATCAAAAGCCAGTTTTTCAACAACGATTTCCACTACTTCAATTGCAAATACCTTCATGATCAAGATATTAGCGACACTATTGGTGAACAAAATGCATGTATAACATGCAGCATTGATTTAATCTTCAAAGAGCTATTTACGCTGAGCACAAACGAAGGTTTTGGAATTACAAATTTATTAACTACTGCTTGGTACAAGCAAAAGTCCTTGGCCGGATTCCAAGAGCAAGATGCACACGAATTCTGGCAATTTATTTTGAACGAATTTCACCAAGACCACACGAGAATTCAAACACAGATGAATGACGATGCGCCTATGGAAGAAACATGCACTTGCATCACTCATTCTACATTCTCGTTTGAACTTCAAAGTTGTGTCAAATGCAATTCGTGCAAAGGTGTAACCGAAACAGTCGACCCCATGATTGATTTATCGTTGGAGATTAACCATTTGAAAAAGAAGGAAAACATCGATTTGTACGACTGTTTGGATTTGTTCACACTGGAGGAGAAGCTAGAAGCCATGATCTCTTGCAAGCAGTGCTCGGCCAAATCGCAAGCTACAAAGACTCTAAAGTTGAAAAGCATACCACCGGTGCTATCAATCCAATTGAAAAGGTTTAACCACAACATCATAAATGACACGTCATCTAAGGTGGAGACTCCAGTCAAAGTTCCACTTTATTTAAACATTGCACCTTATTGCGTGGATCAAGGTTCGGCAAAGGATACAGTGTTTGAGCTATTTTCGGTGATTTGCCACATTGGCTCGGTAAACACTGGTCATTACGTCGTCTATACAAAGAATGCACAGGGCCAATGGCTCAAGTTCGATGATAGTGTTGTTTCCATTGTTGACCAGAGTGATGTGGTCAACTCCAATGCATATTTATTATATTATATAATTCACAATACATAATTTGATAATCCCTCCATACTAAAACAAAGGAATGTAATTGGTTTCTCTTGATAATAGTCGTGTCGTGGACCAAAACTTTAGATTCTTGTCTTCTTGTTTCACAAAAAAAACAACTAATGTAAGTGCTAAACTGGTTATTCTATAAATAATCTAGGAAGGAGATAGCTATTCGTAGCAGAATAGTTTGGTTTCTGCTTGAATGTGCAAAATTCAATTGTCTGGAGTATATGACACAAAATCAATTTACTAATTAGGCAAATTGTTTTTTGTGCGTGTAAAAATGGAAATTTGCCTGTAACTGAACTGTTGACGTTGTAACCACAAGAAGAATGAATATTTGCTTGTGTCGAAGTTTTGGTATTGTTTGGAGAGAAATATCACACTAAAAACTGATAGATAGCAGTGAACTTAATTGTGCCAATGCATTTTTATTTGACTCCTTTCAGTCAGCAAGTAACTGCTTGTTTGTCACTGCCTCGTTCAACATGAAATTTTGAGCAAAAATGGATAATCAAACATTGTGTGCCTAGTAATGCTGCCCACACTGTCTTATTGTTCCTTAGCACGAGTTTTTCCATAGTGCATTGTTTCTCAGAACGGTATCGTTGCATTGTTTATTATAACTTCTAAAACAGGAAAGACAACCCTGCATTGTTTTGATGCAAAAGGTTTACACATATTTCTGGCACAAAACGCAATTTCCGCGTATTTTACTCCTTTCGAGTTGCTTTAAAACCCAAGCCGTTTGTGTCAACAGAAGGCCACCCCAGAGCTTAAATAAACAAAAAAGCAGTTGTCAGTTCAAGTCTCGAATCATTTCCTGAAAACAATCAAAATAGCGCAAATATCCGACAACAATAGGAAACGTCCAATGAGTGATGTCATGTCAATAGCAATGCTGGAATGGTTGAAGGTCGCCACGGCGAGTAGTACTTAAATACACATATTTGGACCTCATTCTAACATGGAACAGTTTTCGATGCTGAACTGATTTTCTATAATCATAGCTGAATGCATTTTTTGTCTTTATTTTTGGTTTTAAATACAGCCTTTTGTTTTCCTTTACAAATTCGTACCAACCTGTTCAATGCAGGTGATGCCTACAAGTCTGTTCTTAACTCGACATGGGATTTATTTTGGAATGAAGACCATCAAGCGTTCAACTTGAATGATCCCAATTGTAATTCAAATTTTAGTAATACTGCTGTTTGGGATTTGGCAGTTGTTGGAAAGGCATTTTTTGACTCGGGGGATGCTAATACGACGCAAAAGATTTTAACTGAATTATACAAGTACCAAAGCCCAAGTGGATGGTTCAATGCTCAACTAAATCAAGGAGAATCATATACTGATGATAATGCGCAGATTGTATGGGCTTTGTTGGCGGCATATGATGTGACAAAAGACGACAAATATTTAACGTCGGCAGAACATTTGGTAGATTTGATCCAAGGACAGTGGTCAAGTATAGGTGGCATTATATGGCAGACAGGAAAAACGTATGTGGCATCAATATCGACTACCGAGGCAGCTTTAGCTGCTGTTCGTTTATACAAATACAACCAGGATCAGAAATTGCTCGATTTTGCCGAACAGTGCCTCGCATGGATGGAAGCAAAGCTAACAAATCCGCTGGATGGGTTCTACTACGACGGATTAGATGAAAACAGTGGCAATATTAACAAGGGAAAATTGTCGTATACAGTGGGTACTGCTATTTCTTCTTATGCATATTTGCACAAGTTTACAAATAACGACACTTACTTAGACTTGGCTAATAAAAAGGCTACCGCCGCTCTTGCAACTAATTCGTCAAACATATTTATGAACTCCGATGGTGGTTGGAACAACAGTCTAAAGTATGTTCATTTGTTATTTGCCGGAATCGCTGACTTGATTGAGATTGGCAGCCAGTCACAATATAGTCAGAAGTTGGTGGACCAGGGCAATTTTGTTTACCAATTTGACCAATTAAGCGAGGGGGACTATGCCGACTATAACAGTGTCAAGACATTGGCGGATCATTACACGCTGGTTACAGGAAAATCTAGCGGTTACTCTTACAGTGCTAGCGTTTACTGCAACGGTACTGAATCGGAGCCCCAAAGGTCTGTTTTGAATCAAGGCTCTGCTGCACAAGTTTTCTACCAAGTAAATCGGATAAGCTCGTAGGATACCATGTCTAGGTTTTAGTAGGTTGATGTAGTAAATTTAAAAATGTACCGTTTTTGTGAGGCTCTATGTGAGAGTACAATCTTTTCCATGTCGGAAAAAGAGCAGAAAATATTGCTTGTGCAAATAATCTAATGGATGCACCGAGAAACCGCAGTTAGAATATGTTGCAAGTTGTCTTTCATATGCCAGATAAAAGATGGTCGTGTATTTGCAAGTCAAAAAAGTCGCGTTCTTAGAACAACTGTGGCGCATGTGTAGACCATCGTGAGTCAAGTTAGGAATCAGGACTCATAAACGGCCGGGAGTGCTCAACAGCCGCCCATCTGAACATTCTTGAAAAGTAAGTGTTTAATTAGACTCTATTGGTCTTTCAAGGTAAAGCTGTAGTGACATTTTTTATTTCAGAGAAAGATGGATGCAAGAGTACAAGTTTTGTGTCACATGGAGAAGTCGTGGGACCTAGTACATAAAAGATCGATAACAAATTATCTCCGACATTTACTATCGCCACCGAAAGTTTATACGTGTTTTCATAATCAACAGTGATGGTTTACACAATTCATAGTGGTAGAGATATTGGTATCTATAGGCTTATCCAAATCTGCCAATATATACCATGTGCTTTCACGGTGTGTTCAAAATTGAGAGCAATAATGACGAGGTAGTGTATATGTGGCAAAACGAGGGATACGTTGGAGGTGGGTGGCCAACAAAACCCAAATCAACAAAGAACCCTAATTGAATGCAATAAGTGGGGTCTTGACTGCTTCTAAAGCATTTTCTATCATTCCGGCATTTATATGTAGCTGTTGTCTGTAGGTGATTCTTCTATAATTGTTGTAGTGTATTAAAAGTATTACATTTCAAAAAATGGGAGAATATAAACAATAAATAAGAACAAGAGGGATCATACATTTTCTTTTTTTTTTGTTTCTGATTTTAAGAAATAAATAAATGCCACTCATTTCATTAGATTTTATTCTTTATCATACCAGGAAGCATTCAATTGGACATTTACCACTAGAATATTGTTTCCAAAGTAACTACAACTATCCAACAGCATATACCTTTAACCACATATAGGGTTTATTGATCAGTTTATTTTCATACAGCCATTTTTCCTGCGGGCAAATTAGTTTCTTTGTTAGGGGAGGGAACTTTTTAAATTGACGTGATTCAAGGGCAAGGCAACCTCAACAAGAGTTAGGTAACCATCAATCAATAGCAGGGTCTTGAGGGCATTCTTCAATTTCCAACATTACAAAACATTTTACATTATAAAGATCCAAGACATAGTGTTTTTAGTACAGGCACGTTTCATACATTACTTTATCTCACAATGGTGCTGAATCAAGATACAAATACCAAAAAGAGGACGTACAACGAAGACAAGATATATGCAGAAGAGTCGGTTGCTAGCAATGGTACCGAGGATGCACCGCAACAAGTGCATGTCAACCCCCAACATCAAAAACCAGGGCTCTACGACGATGACGTCAATGATCTTGAAATGGTATCTAGTCCTGAGATAGTTGATATCAACGCAGGCATAGAAGAAGATGACGATGAAGATGAAGACGAGGACGATGAAGAGATCATTGAACAAGATGCTTTGGGTGAATTGGGAGATAATGTTCAAATAGTGGATGATGATGGAAACGTTGTTGAGTTAGCAAATGAAGCTAATCCCAATTTAACGAATAACCATCAGATAAACAATGTAGCCTCGGCAGCAAATCTGCGTGGTCAACAACAAAATGGGCTACAAAAGACGTATCCACTTGCCAATGATTTCGATGCACTCGCAACAAAGTTGATGAAACCAATTGAGGATTACCCTGTTGGAGACTCGAATCATTTTGTGTGGGAGATAAAAGACTGGACGCTGCTTCTGAAACAGGACAAGGTCAGGTCTCCAACTTTCAAATGTGGCAATTTCAACTGGAATATTTTACTTTTCCCCAAGGGCAATGGAAACAACAATTTTATCTCCATCTATATAGAACCACATCCACCTATTGATGAGGCTACTGGCAAGGCATTGGATGAAGATTGGTACGTTTGCGCTCAATTTGGACTAGATTTGTGGAACCCTGATCACCCAGATGCCCATTTTCCAAATCAGAGTTCACATAGGTTCAGCAAAAGTGATGCTGATTGGGGATTCAGCTCATTGATTGAGTTGAGATCCTTAATGTCAAGCAAGAACTTCAAAAGTCAACCATCACAATATCCCATATTGGAAAATAATCGAATGAATATCACAGCGTTTGTCAGAGTGATTGACGATTCTGCAACTGGAACTTTATGGAATTCCTTGGTTGACTACAATTCCAAAACCAAAGCTGGATATGTTGGATTAACTAACCAGGGAGCCACTTGCTACCTCAATTCCCTATTGCAAAGTTACTTCACAACAAAGATATTCAGAAAACTAGTTTATCAGATACCTACAAACTTGAAAAAGAATGCTTCAGTTGCATATGCATTGCAGCGTATATTCTACCAATTGTCAAAGTCAAATGACCCCGTGGCTACCCTGGATTTGACCAAATCTTTTGGTTGGGACTCTTCAGACGCATTCACCCAGCATGATGTACAGGAATTGAATCGTATTTTGATGGACAAGTTGGAAACTGCCATGAAGGGGACTGGAATTGAAAATGGATTAAACGATATTTTTGTTGGAAAGATGAAGTCGTATATCAAGTGTGTCAATGTCCCTTATGAATCATCACGAGTGGAAGATTTTTGGGATATCCAGTTAAATGTTAAGGGATGTCAAAACTTAGAACAGTCTTTCAAAAATTATATTGAAATAGAGATGTTGGATGGAGAGAACAAATATCAAGCCGGTGATGAGTATGGCTATCAAGATGCCAAAAAGGGGGTTGTATTTGAGTCCTTCCCACAAGTTTTGCATTTGCAATTGAAAAGGTTTGAGTATGACTTTATGGTTGATGATTTGGTCAAGATTGATGACTTTTATGAGTTTCCTGACAAGATTGATTTGAAACCGTATTTGGATGAAGATTTACCTGCCGATGTTAAAAATCAAAATTGGAATTATAAGTTGCATGGAGTTTTAGTTCATCAAGGTACAATATCTAATGGCCACTATTATGCCATGATCAAGCCCAATGCTAGAGATGATACATGGTTGAGATTTGATGACGACAAAGTATGGAAAGTGTCCAAGTCGCAGGTGTTTAAGGAGAACTTTGGAGCTCCAGAATTGAGTAGAGAGCAGTTGGCCACCATGTCGAGATTGGAACAACAAGAACACTTGATCAGGAGAGTCACGTCCGCATATATGTTGGTCTATTATCGAGAATCAGAATTGGATGATGTTTTACCTTCAGACGAAGAAGCAATAAATGCAGTTATTTCGCCTGACATCGCCAACCAGATTCAAAAAGAGTGGGAAGAGCGGTTAAGACTTGAAAAGGAAAGACAAGAGGCCTTGTATTACACAACTGCCAAGGCTATAACAATTGACACAATCAACAATCATACTGGATTTGATTTAGCCTTAGATCCAACCGTTGAAACGTACTACGATGAAAATCTTGCTGGGACTGAAGCTGATGCAAAACTGTTTAGAATTCGCAAGGACAGTCCATTTACGGATCTTGTCGACCAAATAGGTGAGCTGTTGGGCTATGAGGATAAGAGTTTATTCAGATTAGGTGTTGTGTGCCACCGAAACAACCATACCAACAGATTAGACGAGCTTGTGGATGTAAAATTAAAGGACTTAACGGTTGTGAATTTTTATTCCAAAGTCTTTAATAGAAAGTATGATCAAATGGTTTTCTATGTGGAAGAGCTAAACAAGGATATCAACAATATAAACAAGTTGACGGATGTTGAAAAAAGGATAGACCCGGCAGACTTTAAATTTGATGAAACATTTGCGAAGATACAATCGGTAGGTCATGAAGTTACAGAGGACATGAAATTCCCCATCACGGAAAAGCACTCAGGTTATATTACAATCTTTATCAAATATTTTGACCCTGTATCACAGCAAGCAAGGTCTTTGTCACATATTACAGTATCTACTAGTGATTCACTTTCGTCAGTTATCGAGCCTATTAGAGACTTGTTGGGATTTAAAGAGGATGTCGATTTTGAGTTGTATGAAGAGTTAACACCACAACGCTGCGAAAAGCTCGATGTCAAACAGGTCTTTGAGCAACAGGAGTTGAGCACTGGTGATATCATTGTCGCACAGGTTACCAACTCTAGTGAACTAGCAGGTGATAAGCAATTTAAAAATGTAAAGGAATATTACAAGTTTCTTGCTACTCGTGTACACATTAGGGTAAAACCTTACAATGCCAACGAATCAGACGAAGATTCAGATTACATCGATGAAGAAGGAGGAGAAGATACTGAGAATGGTGAATTAAACTCAAACAGAGAGCGAAAGGATTTGAATGGCCAGTATAATGACGAAACGACCATGAAGGAAATCGAAGAAGTCAAGAAGTTGAGCAAGAGCTTTGATTTGTGGATTTCTTCAACCTATAGCTACCAAGACTTGGCAGAAGCCATTGCCGGTATCATTAAATGTGACCCCGAATATTTGAAGCTTTTTGTTATCGGTAACCAAGGCACCCGTTATCCTTTAAAGACGAGTCACTTTTTGTCGCAGGTTTTCCCTAGAAACGCTTCAGTGAGCCAAATGTTTGACATTGAGTATGAAGTGTTGAACATCAAGATGAAGGAGTATGAGAATTTAAAACTGTTTAAGGTGTTTTGGCTCAGCAATTTACTACAATACCAAGAGTTTGAATTGTTAGTTCCAAAGCGTGGCACTTTGACGGATCTTATTAATAAGTTATTGCACAAGGTGGAAGTCCCTGAAAATGATTTGAAGCATCTTTTGTGCTGGTCGGGAGCCAACCATAAATTTTCAGAAATACTTCGATTTGATACTCCCGTGCAGCTGCTCCACGAGGAGGATGACATATATTGCGGTATATTCCCAGCTGAGGTCGAAGTTCTAGTTGACCATGATATTATCAAGAGATTCACTGGTGATGGAGAAGCTATTGACCTCGAGGAGATAAAAGACGATGTGATTAGGGATGAATTTGTTAGAGCTCGCGAAGCTTCAAAAAATCTCAACCTCATTCCAGCTTTCCATTTCCATAAACAAAGTACAAACTATCATGGTATACCATTTATTGTCATTCTTTTTTCTGACGAGCTTTACAGCGAAACAAAGGAGAGATTACGGAGGAAATTGGGATTGGGCCAGCAAGCATTTGACAAGATCAAATTTGCCTTGGCGGATGCCAACGACAAAGGGCTGTACATTGATGATACTGATTCTGGGTTGATATTGTTTGACAAGATAGGCAATGGAAGAGCTAATTTGGCCCTTGATCATATTGACCGCAATCCCAAGCGTCAAAATCCATACGAAAAGGGAATCTCTATAAGATAGGTATCCTACTCAATTTTTATTCTTTTTTTTTTTATATAAACACAGTCTGCTTTTCATACATCTAAACATTCTAACAACTTAATTCAGGCTCTGCATCTTCCGTCTCCCCATTTCTCGTTTACGTATATCAGTCGAACTGATCTTGCCCTTCCACGCATTCTCAGCATTCGATTCCGCATCACCAATGACTTTTATTGCCGTCAAATCTAATTCCCTAAACCCATGCTCGCGACGATACTTGTTGACAAATTCACCACCGGATATAGTTTCATGGCTAATGACCAACCCATCGATGTCTCTAATGTACCCCGTTGGTCCACAAATATCGTTGATTTGGAAAATCTCATAATGGACTACTTCATCCATGATCAAATTGAGAAATTGCACCACGGAGTTTTGCCGTTGACTAAATGATTCAAGTACTTCACTAAATTTCTTATTCTTTAACAATTCCAGACCCGTGATTCCAATAATCAAACGCTTTGACGTGAGGAAATATGCCATTGATAAAAGAATCTTGTGTCCATCGTGCAAATGGTCAAACGTGCCACCGACAGCAGTAGTATGAAACTGCTTGATGACTTTGTTGCATTTAGACGGATAGTTTGAGGGGGCTAATTCGGCTTCGATTGCCGTATGAGCTAGAGGAATGTTTGTGAATATCTCTTGTTCTTGTTGGGCAATAAAGGCATGATTCCACTGTGATGACAATTCAAGCAACTTTGTATGCGATATGTTGAATATAATGTTTATTGAGAAAGTATAGTCAAACAAGGGTAATCCCTCAATTTTAGTCCTCACATGATTGTAATAATAGTATAGGATCTCATTTAGATGAGTGACATTTGTAATCTCCTGCTGAATAACAACATCTAATCTATCAACACCATTGACTATTGACAAGACCTTTTCAATTAATGGAGAGTAGTCTTTTGCTATTGGATCGTCTATGAATATTACAGGATTGGGCATTTGAGTGTGATTAGTTGCAACTATAACTATGCACTATATACAAAAGTGGTTTGGCATTATTCACCAATGGGTGGCACAATTTTTTTGATATGCATTTTGTGTAATCAGTTGAAGTTGGTAGCATCCGATTTCAGATCTGAGCCATCTCTGTAATACGAGGAGGAGTAGCATCAGCAGTATCCGAAGAAGTCGATTCCGGCGTGTCACGATTTAAATCTTTGCTATAGGTTTCAATAGCAGCTCCATGAGACCTTTTCTTGTCATATGATGCCCTTGGGCTCTTCTCATCAACATCGATCAACTGATAAATCTCCTTAATAAATGCTTCATACTGATCCTTATCTAACTCATTCACCTTCAAGTTTGACAATTTCTTTAAAAAATTTCTCAACTTCAAGTCTTGCTCATTTAAATTATCAATGTTGCTCATCAACTTCAATGCCTCCTTGATCGCAGTTTCAATAGAAACGCAATAGGTTTTTGGATCAGTCTTGAACACCATAAACTTTGGTTTATAGTATCTGATATTAGCCCTAATTAATAACTTGTAGATGCGCAACTTGTTTTCTTCACGATCATATCCTACCCAGTTGGCAGAATACAACGTTTTATTCACCTTATCCATGAATTGATAAAACGCATTCGACGCCACGACAAGATTCGATTTGTTCATATACGCGGCATGCACTTGGCCAAAGACGTTGAGGTTTTTGAGAAACTCATTCAACTGAGTCTGCGTTATATGGGGCTTCGAACTATACTGCTTCTTTTTTATTGAATCGTTGTAGTAATGCAAATCCTTGATCAATGTCGAGCAAATATGATCAATGTGCTTTGGATTCACTTCGATACTACCCACGCGATACTTGGACAATGTCAAAGCAGTAAACATCTCCAAAATCATATTGGTCCTCGTTGAGCCGTTTTGTCTTCCGTGCTCTGCCACTTTATAAATGAACGAATTGAACATGACATCGTCTATAATTGTCGGAACTCGGGCATCTTGATGATTGCGAACTTTCACCTTGCTCAAAAAGTTGTCCAAAACATTATACTTTTTCAAATCGGCAGTATATAATCTCATTCCACCCCATTGGATCATTGCATACCAAAATGCTTGTACAAACTGCTTAAACTTGCCCATATTGATAAGACTATCAAACACTTGGTTCAAAATATAAGCATTTATTGAATATCGATATCGTTCTTCTCGATCCAATTCTCCTTTCGACTTTTTGTTTCTGGTGGAAGTTTTTTCAACATACGACCAGTCGCGTCGGAAGTCAATCAACGGTTCCGGATATGACTTGAATTTATCAAGATATGGAATATAGACCTGGGGGTTAATTGGCAGATTGAGCTCCTTCACGACATTTGCTGGTATTAGTTCATCTATTTTGGAAACATAGTCAAGCTCAATATTCTTTGCACCATTAACAGCTAATCTGACCCTCAAATCAGTGTATTCTTTTACCTTTGATGAGCTAGTTATCGGTTCATTGGGCTTGTTGTCACTTTGCCCTAAAAAGGTCAAGATAGCTTCGACTTCAGACGAGACACTGCGGAGAATTTCCAATGCCTTTTCATTATACAAGTAATGAGAGCCACTTCCCAAATCAAGACCAGTCGCAGAATCACGGCTACAGAAACTGCTAACATAGGTAGTAATTACCGGGAAATCAATGTCTAGTCTTGTCTTACGCCACTTTGCAATATTTTTTTTGTCTTGTTCTGGATTCAAGCTTGGTACTGGGGGCTGGGCAACACTTTTGACTTTATGAAAAATGATGTCAGCAGTTTTGATATGTCCTGCTTCCAAGTCCAAAAGTTTGACAATACGTGCATGGCTTGAAAGCTTTGTATCTGCCAAAATCATTGATTTCCCATGGTCGGAATATTTACGAAGCCCTTGCAAAAGAATGGTGAAAGTCTGGGCATCAGGGTTTATCCCCTTGATACCCATTTCCTCATTTTCAATTAATTCATCAAAAAACAGCCATGCTTTCACTTGCCGAAAGGCAAAGTTTTTGACCAAAATACTCAAGCAGGCATTAAAGATCGACGTCGTCATTTTCGCATCTTCTTGGAAATTTAGTCTCGAAGATTTAAAAGTTTCAATCATTCGGTCACACATAACATCCGTCACTTTGCCCCACTCGCTCGTCTTTGCCACTCCATCAAAAAATTTAAGAAACGTATATGAATCACAGGGAACACCAAAATCTCGTCGTTCATTAAACGACTTGATGCCACTTTTTTGATCCTTTCTATCAAAATGCCATTCCATTATCGTGTTCATTGCCACTATTGCATTTTTAGGACTGATGCGACACAAGTAGTTGGCACGCTTAGCATCTTGGTCATATGCTAGGAGATCAACAACATTCTTTGTGACAAAATAAGGGTCATCCAACTGCTTTTGGTTCGTCCCTAGCAACGTCAATGCCAATCCGCGATTAACTTGCTTCTTGGTCATGTCTTTTATCCTCATTACATTGTCAAATATGACTCGTGACTGCTCATTTCTGAATTTTAGATCACCAACTCGTAGCTTATCCACACTGAACGGCTTTCCTTCTTTATTGAGAAACGTGATTGAGTCGTATGATCGTTTCAATGTATGTAGTGACCTCAAGAGAATCTTTTCGTCTCTAGCCAGCTTTTGAGTTCTTTCGACAAACCGTTTGTTGTACCTAATCATCTCGCCATTATTTTCCATTATATCGTTCAACTTCTTGCGTATATTGATCTTTATTCGAGCTTCATTAGTCTCTGACCGAGGGACATGTAGTAGCTGACTAACATGTTTGACCACTCCTTGCTTGACCTTCTTCATTGTGAATGGAGAGTGTAATGTCGTAGGTGTAGTAAGGAAAGATGAGGATGTGGATATTTCATAGAAAAAAATAGCGACAAAAAGCCGCACCCTCATCGAACGAAAACCTCCAAACTTTAAAACCACCACAGCATCAACAACTACATCTTAACAATGAGTGATAAAAGTGTCACTAATGTCACTGGAACCACTGGTGAAGTGCAGCGCAAGAATTGGATTGAGTTGAAGCGAGCCATCGATAAGATCATTGATAACTTAACCGCCTCCAACATACAAACATCCGTCGTTCAACTATTCACCCTCAACATCAAACGAGGCCGAGGTATCCTAGTTCGCTCAATCATGCAACACCAACTACACAACCCTCATAAATCACCATTGTATGCTTCATTAACTGATGTGCTTAATTCTAAAATTCGTTCAATTGGCAAACTCATTTCAGGTCGAGTTATATTACAATTCAAATTGGCATACACTAGCAACGATTTTCAACTATGTAAATCTTCGTTACAATTTTTGAGTTATTTGACGATACATCAAGTTGTCAATGAAGTTACACTACTTCAAATTATACAGCTATTATTGGAAACACCAGTGACTAACGGTGATGTCGAAATGTGTACCGAGATCTTCAAAGTTGTCGGCCGATTCTTGATTTTGAAATCACGAGTTCCCACAACGTTAATTTTAAATAGAATCAAGGATTTGTTACAAGACAATGATCAAGAGAAGTTGAGTCTGAGATCGCAAAATTCCATCAAGTTTGTATTGAGACTTGGTCAGCTGCAATTCAAATCTATTCCCATGATTGACAAACAATTGGATCTAGTTGATGATGACGATAAACAGACACACGTGGTCGATTTGCATGAGGAATTGTCTGCTAGAGATTATCTAAATATCTATCGTCATGATAAGGAGTTTGAGAAACACGAGACAGAATATGATGCACTACGACAAGAGATTCTTCATGCCGATGATAATGATGATGATGATGGAGATGATGGAGATGGCCAAGTAAAAGAGGAGCCAGATGCAAAGGAAGCTACCGCTGCTGTTGCTACCGCCGTGGCAAAACCAGAAGTGGTGTCCGATATGACACAATCGGACCTCCTTCAATATCAAAAACAAGTTTACTTGACAGTTATGTCCTCAATGTCATCAGAGGAAGCAGTTCACAAGCTTCTCAAATTGAGCCATCAACGTTCTCAATTGCAACATCAAGATTCGAAAACGCTATGCGACATGATTATCAAGTGTTGTTCGCAGGAGAAAACATACTCGAAATATTTTGGCGTCATTGGTGAGATCCTCTGCGCTAAGAATCATCATTGGCAAAATAACTTCATTTCTTTGTTCAAGCATTATTATTCTATAATCGACAACTTTGAAGCCAATGCGTTGAGAAACATTGGTAAATTTTTCGGCCACTTGTTTGCATCAGATGTTGTTGCATTAGACACTGCCTGGAATGAAGTGCGCATCACTCAAGAAGACACCAACCCTGCAAAAAGAATCTTACTTAAATTTATTTTCCAAGAAATGGTGGAGGAGATAGGTGTGAATGAGATCAAGGCCAGATTGATTGACGACTCATTTGTAAAGCGCGGGTTGAATGGCGTATTTCCCGTGGTTGATGTTGATGAAGATGATGCGGACCATTTACGATTTTCAATAAACTTTTTCACTGCTATTGGCTTGGGTGTTTTAACGGATGAGATGCGCAAGGTGTTGAATAATTTGCCACCACTGACGTCAACGAGAGGTAGAGGTAGGAGAAGAAGTGGCAGTTTGAGTCGGGGATCAAGTTCAGGTCTGAGTTATTCACGCAGCTACTCGCGCAGTTACTCACGTAGTGGGAGCAGTTCACGTAGTTATTCGCGCAGCCGCAGTCGCAGCTATTCCAGAAGTCCAAGTCGCACGCCCAGTCGAGATTCATTTAACCGTTCACCAAGCAATGAAGACACAATTGCAAAGGGCAATGGAAAGTATGCTGAACAAGATGAGAAGAATAATGATGGTGATGGTGATGGTGATGGTGGCGGTGGTGGTTTCAATTTAAGACTGACAAAGCGGAGACGCTCGGTATCTGACTCAGAAGATGATGATGAAGATAAGCCCAAATTGAGTGATATATTTAACCAAATGAACTAACACGCTGTATACAGTATGTAGATCACAGAGGTAGTTGATATAATGGCCACATAATTGGTAATGTTTTACACAATGAAGATAGGTTTGTTAAAACATTTTTGCTTATTTTCTTTACAAAATAATTTTGAATTTTGGCAGGCAATACATCAGACGAATCAAAGACAATAATTCAGTTTGCTTACATCTTTCACACTCTTTGCCCTAGTACCTTTGAGGTGTGATGATTTTAGTTTGAGGTTGTCTCAATCTCAATGAGAACACACACATTTCATTTCTTCTTTTATTGTTACAGGAAAAAGCATATGCACCTAATTAAACACAAAACTAGCAACAGTATTGTAATCCACAACACACAACTTTATTTATCTGTAGCTTGTAGTTGTTGTATAGATGAGACTTGAAATAGAACTGAAACTTCTACAAAATCTAGATTTCACGGAAATAGAAATAATACCAAGAATTGTTTTGACAAAAAAGAACTCACTATAAAAATCTTTGCTATGATTAGTTCTTTAAAGACCTTTGAAACTTTGTTCTGACTGGCTGCAACAGGCTCTATTTTATCTGCAATACACCAATAATAAAGGTGTTGCAATCTAGTACGAACACTAGTAAAGGCCATGGCCATCGAAAGCCATTGGCTGTATATATGTGTGCTCTTTGCTAAATGAACCAAAAAACAGTTTAAAGGTGCATTATTGCATTAATGGCTTATTGTTTTCTGGCAATTCAACACAAAAGGTTGCCCATAGAACAATAGAGATCAGCCTCGACAACAAAAACAATAACAATGCAACCAATAAAGATTTACAATGAATATAGATCAGAGAGAGAGAGAGAGAGAGAGAGAGAGAGAGACATTGTAAAAATATTTTTCCTAAAGTTGAGCGGTAACCCCAACTGATGTAGCTGTTAACTTCACCAAAGTATCTCTCTTCACTTTGCTAAATTGAGAGGGTGTGTGTATATAGAATGAAATGCACTTACGAAGCAGACATTACGAAAACTAAAAGAAAAGAAAGAAAAAAAAAACCAATGAAGTTGTGCCTGTCTGTACGAGATGAGACATCCGTCAAGGGTTATGGTAAAATCGCCTTTGAATTTTAAGAGGCGGTGCATCATTCAATACATCAAATCAATTGAAATTTGAATAGGAGGCTCATGAACATCCAAAGTAGCATTGTATATAACTGAAAGAGAAACCTATTGGTGGTGCGTATATGATGTCTACTGGTTGAGTATTCCCATACTGGTAACGAACCAATTTTTATTACCATTAGTGTCTACCCTTTTTGCTGGTTCCAGATGAATATTATATGTATATATATATATATTTATATATCATCTTCTTATTTCTTGGGTGAAAAGCTTAAAAAGCTTCTAAAGAAGAAGAGAAAAGGACGTGTACCCATGGTCAAAAGTAATATTATGAAAAGATTTTTCTCGTTTAAAAATTCTTTTGCTAACCAAATGTAAACAATACACAAAACACACAAGAAGTTGTAGTTGTATGTAGAACTAACACCATTTTTTTTCTTTCTTTCCTTCGTTGGTTGTTGTTTCACAAACAGCACGTGTATTTTTTCTTCTTCTTTGTTGTTATTTTGCTGTCTCCTTCGCCCCCCCTCGTTGCCCCCCCTCCCCGTGTGTAGTTTGTTACAAACACAGTAACACCAGACAACAAATACGGTAAAGTAAGGGGGGACTATCGAAAACTAAGTAAAAGTGGTACTAAACACCCACTCAGCAACAGAATTTTTTTTTTCCTCGCGTAATATGTATATACCATCCCTGCCCCTGCCCATGCCCCTGCCCATGTCCTTTGTCTTTCGTTTTCGTTTTCGTTTTCGTTCTCGTTTTCGTTAATGCAGTCGACTCGATTCGTAACGACTTGAAACTTCAATAATCATCCCTTTGTTGTTTTCTCTGGTATTAAGATGAGCTCTGAACACCACGTTCTGTTGTGAAGCAGGGATGAGCTCTTGTAGAAAGACGCGTCTTGTAAGACTGTTGTAAACGAACATGCATCTGATCAGAACATTGGCGGAGGTGACTTCCTTTACTCCCTCCAGTGGTAAGAGTACTTTACTTACTTACAGAGACAGCAGTGCACGTGCTTTCGAAATGTCAGGCGATATATACATACCTGCTTGTAAAAGGAGTTATCGATAATTTCAATAGAAAAAGAAAAAGCAACAACCAAATTGGAGCTTCAGTTCGGTATTCTACTGTCCAGAAACGAGATTGTGATCTGCTTGCATTGGATCATGGTTGCTGATCTATTCCTCTAACTCAATTGAATTCAATTGAATTTGTTCTAGGCCCTTTTTATTTGTCCTAATTCTCCTTTTGTTTTGATGAAATTTTTTGTTTACAATTTGTTTCTTGTTAGTCCTAACAATTGAGTAATACAATGAATTACACAAAACAAGAGAATAATAAATTATGTATTTTAACTTTGTTTAGTTAAATAGTAAACATTAGCTAACATCCATACATCAATATATAACACCAGTTTTTGACCATTTAAGCAATAGAGCATAATAAAACACAATACAAGTTATTTATTTATTGTTATTGTTACAATTAATATTGTCGGCGTTTTATTTTTATTTTATTTTTTATTTTTTATTTTTTATTTTTTATTTACCCACCCAATTGGATGGAAATCTCCTTTTGACTTCAATTCAATTTATCAACAAGATAAAATGTCTAAAGAATTTCACCAATTCATTTTCAAAATAAAAATTTTTCTTTCTTCTTCTTCTTCTTCTTCTTCTTTCTTACTCTACCACAACCAAATCTATAACTTCTATCAGTCGTTCCTTTCATAATCCTTTAGAAGTCGAGATTAACCCTTTCATATCCAACTAATACAAACTTTCGTTAATTTTACATTACACGCTACTAGTACTAGACACTCATTTTATCTAAATCTATATTTTACCAAAAGAAATGTTGTACAAGACTATCGTTTCTACTGCTTTATTAGCTCAAGCCTTGGCTGCTCCTTTAGCCATCAACCAACAACACCAACACCATAAGCACAATGAAGAAAAGAGAGCTGTTCACGTTGTTACTCAAACCAATGTTGTTGTTGTCACTTTGGGTTCAGGTGACTCTACTACTACTTTCACTCCAGTTTCAGCCGAGACTCCAGCATCTTCAGCTAGTCAAGTCACTGATGCTCCTCAAAACCAACCAACTACCACTGTCTCTGCTTCATCTTCATCAGATGACAACGACTCCTCATCTTCGTCAGCATCAGGTTCTGACTCCTCATCATCTTCCCAATCCTCATCAAACGTTGGTTCTGGTGGTGCCAAGGGTGTCACTTACACTCCTTACGCCGACAATGGTAACTGTAAAACTTCATCGCAAATTTCTTCTGAAGTTGCTGAATTGAGTGGATTCGACATTATTAGATTGTACGGTGTTGACTGTGACCAAGTTGCTCAAGTCTTGCAAGCTAAATCATCAGGCCAAAAGATCTTTGCTGGTATCTATGATGTCTCTGCTATTTCCGATGGTGTTCAAACTATTTCTGATGCTGTCAAGGCCCACGGTTCATGGTCTGACATTCACACTGTTTCCGTTGGTAACGAATTGGTCAACTCTGGTGAAGCTTCCACTTCTCAAATCAAGTCTTATGTCAACGAAGCCAAGTCTGCTTTGAAGTCAGCTGGATACACTGGTTCAGTTGTTTCTGTTGATACTTTTATTGCTGTTATCAACAACCCAGAATTGTGTGACTACTCCGACTACATTGCTGTCAATGCTCACTGTTTCTTTGATGGTGGTTACTCTGCTGACCAAGCTGGTGAATGGGTCTTGTCTCAAATCCAAAGAGTCTCTAGTGCCTGTGGTAACAGCAAGAACGTCTTGATCACTGAAACTGGTTGGCCATCAAAGGGTGACTCCAACAACAAGGCTATTCCATCAAAACAAAACCAAGAATCTGCTATCCAATCAATCAAGGACACTTGTGGATCAGCTTCTATTTTGTTTACTGCTTTCAATGACTTGTGGAAGTCTGATGGTGCTTACAACGCTGAAAAATACTGGGGTTTCTTGTCAAACTAGAGAAATCTTTTGAAAAGATGATAATCTTATTCTAGTGTTCTTTTTTGTTACATGTTACCTTTTTTTACCGTTTTTTATATTTGTGCTTGCCTTTCAATTTTATACCCCCCAGCGTTGAAGTCCAAAAAGTGAAGAAAGAGATAGATGGAAGTGAAGAGAAATAATTTTTGAAGCTTGATGCATTCCGTTGTGGTTTGCCAACTTTTGATTCTTTGAAATTCCTGTCTCCTCACTTTTGACACTTATTTTTTTTTATTGTTGTTATTATCGTGTATATGTTTGTTACTTTTGTTTACTTTTATATTATCACATATACATAGATTTTTGTTATTTTAAGAAGTTCATGTATAGATCTCTAGCTGTCGTCAACTAGTGAGCCACTTTCATTTCTATCAATTGAATATTTTCTACACTCGTTATTTCAAAAGAACCAAATCAAATCAAATCAAATAAAACCATATCTACACCAACAAAGACTATATAAACCCATCTATAAAAGTGTTTTTGCAATTGCAAACGGGATCTGCGAGCCCTTTTTAAACTCAGAGACAAAGTACACGATTATCAATTAAATTATACAACAATTAATCAATTTAATAAAATACAATTATAAGACCTGTTTTTACGCTTCCTCACTTATATCTTCTACTCTTCCTCTTCCTCTTCCTCCTCCTCCTCCTCTCCCTCATCTTTATCCTCTTCTATATCACCGTCATCCAAACACGAAGCAATAAACTCCTTACGTTTCTCAATTTCATGTCCACTCTTGAACTTATACAACTTAGATTCCAATTCCGTATCCAACAACGAATCAAACGTCTGATTCCAGACCCCCAGTGGCGCATTCTTGAGCGGCAAGTACGTGTATATCAACTCCGTCTCCCAGTTGAATACCTTCCCTTCCTCCTGATCCACATCAACGTCATTTTTGTTTTGTTTACCCCTGAGTTTCCTTTTCTTATCTTTATTCTCATTATTCTTCTTTTTGGTTGATTCTGCCTCTTTTTCCATTTGTGTTATTGCTTGAGCTAATGAATCAATAAATTGAATAATGTAGTTGATCATGACCAAAGTCTCATTCGAACACGCGTAGATGATGTGACTTATGAATGGATCCTTAAAACCAAGTGAATTCAATTTCAGAAATGTCTTTGGTAACAAATCATCATCATCTTCTTGACTTTGATGAGATTGGTCATCTTCTTCACCATCATTGAGAAGTTGAGTAAGTAGGATAACGCGTGGTTTGCTTTGTTTGACCAAGTTGAGGAATTTGTTAGGGTCGATACAAGTTATCACAGTGGTTGATTTGTCAAGGTAATCGAGGGTTATATCTGGTTGAGCCTCACTTGATTGAAGTTGATGATCTGAATCCAATTGTAAGTCCAATTGATGAGATCCCAATTGTGTCAGGGACTGTGTCTTGGGAGCAGAAAAGAATTCATCATTTTCGGAACTGGCATCATCATCTTCCTCTTGGTCTTTGTTCACAGTTAATTGTTGCCCGACTTCAACCTCGACGTTTTTCTCCTCATTTTCTCCACCTTCATCAACCTCCTCAACCTCCTCATCGTCACTTTCATCGTCGTCCTCGTCAATGGTGCCTATATTACCCAATTTTGGAACTTCAATGTGATCTTTAAGAACATCATCAATATCCATATCGGCAACGCCTGCTTTACCTTGACTATCATCTGTTTTGTCACTACTACTCTTTTGACTAGAGCTGTTTTGTTGTGCTGCATCATTGATATTTGAGTTCTTCAATTCACCAATTTCTTCATCAAGTGCTGATTCTTCGTCTTCCTGTTGTTGTTGCTTTTCCTGTTGTTGTTGTTGTTGTTGTTGTTGTTGTTGTTGCTTTTCCTGTTGACGTTGCTCATCACGCGCAGCAGCAGCAGCAACAGCAGCATTAGCAAAGGCTTCTGCTTCCTCCACAAATGCTACATCATCATCAACAACTTCCTCAATTTCATCCTCCACGCCTTCTTCCTCTGTCCCACGAGCAACCCTCCTTTGCTCTTGCGCTTTATTATCTTTCTTCAACGCAGCAATGTCTCGGTTAAAGTTGGATATATGTTGAGGCACTTTTGATAACACATGAGGCACATCACCATTTGTCAAGCAAGTCTCATAATATCTCTTGTATTCAACAACATCGCTATCTTTCGAGATAAATTTCCGAAACCGATCCCTCCATGAATGTAAAGTATGTCTAGGATGTTTGTGATACATTTGATTGAAAAACAGATAGGGTAAATTACTTTTTTGGTCTTCATCAGCTTCATTATATTCAAACCCTTGTAAAATTGATTGTTGTTTGATATAAGCCAAGGCTGAACAACATAATTCATAATCATCCAAGGGAGTGAACTTGGTCTTGATGGTTTCAGGTACTTCATCCAATGATACTTCAATCAAGTGCCCATGACGATCCTTGAGCAATTTGCCGCGATCATTGGTCTTATAAACAAATCTTAATCGTTGTTCTAAATGACGGCGATAACGTGATCTTATTGAATTTCCCGTATGCATCGACAAGATACTATGAGTAGCCAATTGGCGATAAAATTCATGTGAGTTACGCAACTTGGCATTTTTTCGCACTTGGTCCAAAATGTATTCATCTTTTACGTCATTGAATCTGTTTGATGTCGATGCATGCTTGCCCAGCGAACGTCTAGGTGCTGCTTCACTTTGGGATCTTTGAGCTGCTGGAGTCCTACCAGTGGCAATACTGAATACTCCGCTCTTGCTTTGTTGCTGCTGCTGTTGCTGCTGTTGTTGTTGTCCATGTTGCTCCAATCCCAACATATCAATAATCGGCTCAGCAACCTCATCAATCAGTGTGGCCGGAATGGTATAATTACCCGTAGACAACAATTGCCCGACACTAACACAATCATCAATATACCTAATACGAACAAACCCTCCCAATTGCTCTTTACTCGTTACGTAAATCATATTCTCCAATCCACCTTCAGCTAAAATACCCCCATTCTGAAGTACCATGCGCAGATACCTTTTTCTATCGGGTTCATCAAACGGAATAAAGAATGGAATTGGTTTATTATCGGGAGTCACAAAAATGCTTGATGTTGGTTTAGCATACTGATGTTGGAACTGGGGTGGTGGTGGAGGAATATGTTGTGGAAACTGGAAATGGTCGTTGTTTCCTGAACCTGATTGTTGTTGAATACGCGTATTGTGGTTTAATTGTTGTTGTTGATGTTGTTGTTGATGTTGTTGTTGAGTAGCTAGCGCTTGGGCTCGACGTTGGTTTTGTAATTGTTGGTGTTGTTGTCCGGCAGCATACACAGCAGCTTGTGCAGTAGCTTCAGCAGTACCGTCGCCAAATGATGGATCGTAATTATAGTTGTAATTCATACCAGACTAAACCAAAACCAAAAGACTTTTGCTAAACTAATGATAACTTTCCTTTGAAATTCCCCCTGTTGTTAATTTAGAGTGTAATTTGCTCGGTGACTCTTGATGATCAGTTTTAGTTGCAAAAAAAATCAAAACAAAACGAATCGGTAAACCCTTTTCGTGTTGCAAAAGTGAAACTGGTGTTTGTTGTTGATGCTTGGAGGTAAAAGACAAAAAAAAACAGTGGATGTGGTGTAAAGGTTCAACGAAAAAAAAGATTGTGAGAGAGATTTGTTTATACTTTGAAATAGACACGTGACTATTTTATTTTATTTTTATTTCGTGTTTCAAGGGGGGCAAAGTCGTGTCTAGTTGATAAAGGCAAATGCAATACTAGCCTCGTATAGTGTCTATTTAGCAGTATGATTGTAGGGTGCTAGAAGGGTATATCCATATTGGTATAGCCCAGAGGCTATATTCCTTACAAGACATCCTCCAAACCCGATGATATATAATACAAATATAATCTAGCAACCACAACTATTACAGCACACTCAACTCTACAACATCGTCTGCCAACTAACAAATGGTATATAGATTAGAACACTAAACAACACCCTAAAAGCCATTTTGAACTAAAACTTTACAACAAGTAAAAATCTCCGAATAAACCAACAATAGCAATGGTCAAACTTAGACCAGAAATATAAGAACCAATAGTATAACCTGATTTAATATGTTCTAAATCTTGAACGATTTCCTTCTTGGTTAAAGTGTTTTCTATCTCAACTTCAACTGCAGTTTCCTCCTTGAATGTACCTTCATGTGGTTGCCCATCTTGTTCACCTTCAAAGTCGTGCGCTCCTTCTTGGTGGCGAATTTGTGGTGATGCTGGTTGAGAAGAAGTAGGAGTAGAAAGACCCGACTCATCAGAAAGATGGACGTAAGATCTTCCCAATTCATCAACACTATTGACCTTGGAAATTACTTCAGCTTCATCTTGTTCATCATCAGCGGAAACAACCGAGGAAGGAGCAAGTGGGGTGTTGGCAGACGTAGAACTCTTTGAACTGGAACCAGAAGCATCCTTCTTTAAAGTTACACTTGGTTTATCCAATATATTATCTTCATACACCCAAGTATTGTAATACAATCCGAGCAACGTCAATGGAGCACCAGCAGCAGCATACACCAAATAAGGATGTTTTTCATCTATAGGACTATATTTAAAAGCCAATGTGAAGAACAAGGTGCTCAACCCGGTCAAAAGTCCATTAACAATTCTTGAACCAAATATGTATGACTTGGTCTCTTGAATCTTCTTGTTTAAAGTGGGGACATTTAATTGATAGATTGAGTTTATTTGAGTGATTAGACTAGGGATATTTTGTATTGATTGGTAGATGATTGATGAAGTTAATAACCCGAGTGAGCCTAAACCCAACAATTTGATAGTATTAACACATGTGCCAGCCATGATTGCTTTCTGATTAATGAGTCTGTTGCTGTGTGTGTTGTTGTGGAATAGGTGGAGTAGTGCTAAAGCCTATAGAATAGCTGCCTGGGGTAAAAGAAGTAGTCAACGAAAGATGTAAGTAGTCTAAACAGTGACTCTATAGATGAGATGTATCTTGTCGATTGGATTGATTGTGTGGCTCCTTGTCTCACTCCGCAAGGACAAAGGGGGATTAAAAAAATAAAAGTGTGTGATTAAAAGATAACAGGAGGGAAAAGGAAAAAAAAATTAAAAATAAAAACCGTGATCGGGGGGAATATATGAATGTGTGCGTGTGCGTGTGCGTGTACGTGGATAGACTATATTCAGCAAGTGGTTGTTTTAGTTGTATACCGTTATGCTAAACCTTTTGAAACTTTGAAACTTTGAAACTTTGAGACTTTGAAACTTGATTGATAAGCTATAGTAGATATTGCTATCTAATCAGTAAAAAAGAAAATGGGGGAAATCGATACGTAAAGCAACAGAAGAAAGAAAAGTGGCAAGGAAAAGGTGAAGAAAAGGAAAAAGAAAAAACAAAATTAAATTTAGTTTTAGTGCCTATGTGCTGTTGAGGGGTGTAAACGTAAATATACAATGGAAACCAAATAGATAAGAACTGTTTACCAGTGGCAAAGCAAACTACCACACACACACACAATAGTAACCAATGATATCTCTTACCACACTACACATTACAGATTACATTAGCCTTGACAACAGAATTAACCCACGTGCTATAACCAATAGGAAGATTAGTCCACTTGTTCAAAGCTCTCAACAAAATATATGAAAGGAAGAGGGGAAGAACAGTTTCGATAACAAGACAAGTTTCGTCATTTACACGACCTTTTTCATGTCCATTCTATATAACATATATATATATATACTAAACTGTCTGGAAATATCCTTCTAGTATATTTCAAAGGTAAGTCCCATCATTAGGATTAGCTTGGTGATGCTTCAACTCATATTACAATGCTAAAATTTCCCTTTCAGTATTAGCTCTAGCTCCTCCTAGAAAACTCCGACAATTGTTTCCTGTTTTGGACACACCCTCATACAACAGCAAACCAATTAGTTAGGACTAATATTGAATTGAGTGTACATCCCAACAACTCACTGGATGAAACTTGTAGTACTTTTTGTCGTTTGAAATGCTAATCGGACACTCCCTTCTCATCCATCAGCTATATAGTATGATACGCTAACCTGTCTTATTTTTGCTTTCAAATCAGGCCATGTCTCATCATACAAAATATGCCTTATCCTCTCCATAGTTACAAAACCCACAATCTAACCAACCCTCTCTCTTCATTATCGAATCTTCAACCAATCAGGCGCCTTCTGCGGATCAATATCAACCAGCAGCACATCAAACCCTTCAATCAACAACTCCACCAAGATCCTACCGCCCCTAGACCCAGTAAACCTGCGATATTCTTCACTTACACTAGCCAAATTCCACCCCTGTAGCCTTCTCAAACACCCCACCACGGTCCCAGTGCGGTGTCTTCCCATTCCACAACATACCAACATGGGGTAATTCAGTTTATCAACAATAAGCTCAAGGGCTTTAGTTATTGTTGGTTCAGTTAACGAATCCCATGGATTCATGTTGAGTTGTGGTTGTTTATCAAATTCCATCAATTCATTCAACATCCCCACATATTCAATATTGATCGATTGTGATAAACAATAATCAAGAAAATCATCATTGGGTTCTTCTGATGCTAACCATAGGATGGTTTTCAAGTTTAATTGATTCAAAAACAGTTGGTTGATGATTGATGGTTGCCCTGATCGATACAATTGTTTTTCAACGGGGCAAAAATTCAAGGGCGGGATGATTCGTAGTACTGGTGGATGTGTTACTTTGCGCAAGTTACTATTGGTGGTTGATGCATGTTGTAGTCTTTGTTGTTGCTGATCATGGATTAACTGTGACTGGGACTGGGACTGTGATTGCGTTTGGGTTTGAGGGGCGTCCCGCGGTTGCGATGTTGTACTCAGTTGTGTGGCTTCCTCTTGTCCTAGCTGCTGCTGTTCATGGTCGTTCAATTGTTGTTGAGGTGGAATTGACCCCGAGTAAGTTGATCCTTCTTCTTGACTCAACTTCAATTGTTGACTTAGTTTACCTTGCAAAGGAACCGACTGATGAACTGCCATGTTGTACACCTTAATATGCGATAAAGTAGCGTGTGTTAATGTATTTAAAATGTGGTTTGGTTGAATTTGGAGTTTTTGCTTCTCATATACACACACTAACACACACGTTTAATAGGATTTTTTTTTTCCTTTGCTTTCTATTTTTTCTAATTTTTCAATTCGTTGTTTTCTTTCTTTAAATTTTCAGAGACACGAGTCGACACACACATACACACACATCAGACAGACACAGCCATTAAATACTGGTTGGCACAACTTAACACATTTTTCACCCCATTCAGACCCACATACACACACGTACATACTAACACTAACACACCTTACTCAATGGCAAAGAAAGATTCTGCAATCAAGAAAGCTCAAGCAGCTACGGCAGCAAAAGCCAACCAGTCCTCTTCTTCCACGACTACCAATTCCGCCAGTAGCAGTGGTCACGATTCAATCATTCCTCAAACAAAATCCGTAACAACCACGTTCCATGAATTGCAATTGGCCATAAGTACAACCACATCTGATTATTTCAACAATTTAACTCCTAAATTGAAATTGATTGATTTATTTCTTGTATTTTTGGTGAGTTTGGGTATTTTACAATTTATTTATGTCCTTTTAATTGGAAATTTCCCCTTTAATGCATTTCTTGGTGGGTTTGCTATATGTGTTGGACAATTTGTATTGTTGGTTAGTTTAAGGTTACAAATTAATGATAGTGCTGAGAATAAAGGTGGTAATAATGCCAGGGCCAAGAAGTCCAAGAAGAATGAAAAAGTTGATACAGTTGATGAAATTGATGAAATAGATGACGATGTTGAAGACGACGACAGTGATGATGCAGATGCAGTTGATGGTGGTAGTGGCAAGTCCAAGAAGGTGTTTACAGGAATTTCTCCTGAAAGATCATTTGCTGATTTCATATTTGCTAGTTTGATCTTACATTTTATTGTCATTCACTTTATAAATTAGAAGATTTAGAAACATACTTGCAATTGGTGTAGATTAGACACGAGAGTACTGTAGTTTCTGAAGATCCATTTTGCCGATATATGCACATATACCATGGAAACTCAAAGTCTCTACTAAAATCATATTTTGCAATAGATTAATCATTAAAATTTGAAACAGACAAAACAAATTTACAAAAACAAACAAACTCAAAGACACTTGAGTCACAGACTCAAACTTTTCTTTCATCTTTTTGTCCCGTTTTTTCTTCTTTTTATTTTCAACAGTCAATGCCTTGATTCGTTTAAAGCACCTTCTTACCTCCACCATTCGCACAAGCCTCTTCCTCGTCTTGCTATCTCCTCCCTCCACAATTGCTCTTTACCTCCCCACTCATCTTAAACAATTACACAACAGCCTGACTTGGACTTCTCACTGCCGGATGATTGTTGTGATTGCTGCTTTCGAGAGTTATTTTGACCTGCATTTGATTTTTGAGGGGCACCTCCTGGTGAAGAACCACCGCCGGTTGTTGTAGCACCAGTAGCCCCTCCTCCCGCTACACCATTAAGCTGTTGTGAGCCGCTACCCAGTTGCAGTTGTGATTGCGGTTGTTGTTGTTGTTGTTGTTGATATTGTTGTGCCTGTTGCTTGTTTTGTTGCTCCTGTTGTTGTGGTGACACACCTTGATCTTTCAAGCGTTGTTGCTTTTCTGCTTCTTCACTAGCTCTAATATACTTGACCAAATCGAAAAATGCTTCTTCAACGTTGATTCTCAATTTAGCCGATGTTTCTAAAAATGGACAATTAAAACTATTGGCCAATGCCTGACCTTCTTCATAACTAACCTGTCTCTCCATTTCCAAGTCACATTTATTACCCACCACTAATACTGGCACTTGCTCACTATCCTTAACGCGTAAAATTTGCTCATAAAAAGTTTGCAATTCCTCCAATGAGTTTCTCGAATTTATCGAATAAACTAAAAGAAAACCTTCACCAGTTCTCATATATTGTTCTCTCATGGCGGAATATTCCTCTTGTCCAGCAGTATCCAAAATATCCAACAACACTTGTTCACCATCAATGGTACACTGCTTTCTATAACTATCTTCAATAGTGGGGTCGTATTCATCAACAAAATGCGATTGAATCAACTGAATGGTTAATGCAGATTTACCAACACCACCACCACCAACAACTACTAATTTATACTCTCTCAACATGACTATGATGACACAGGGGGTGTGAACTCGTTGTATCCAATTTCAGTGAAAAAAAAAAAATAAATTATAAAAATTGGTTGAAGTGTTTTCTTGTTTATATATATAAATAAATACAATTTGAAAAATTTCAACCAAATTAAGAATTAAATTAAGAATTAAATTAAGAATAAAAATTAAAAAACGAAAAAAAAAAAAATAAAAAATTTGAAATGAAATTGTAATATATTACACAAACAAACATTCAATCGACACATAGAACACCATACACACATACACACATACACACACGCATACTAGAACACTAGAACAAATACAAGTTTGATAGATTTATCAAGGTTTCAATCATTCGTCTAAATTATAGACGAAGAAGATGACTTTGTTGTTTCTCCATTTTGGAAATAGCTAAAGATAAAAATGACCAACTCAAGCACCACAGATTAAAATATGTCCTATTTAGTCCTTTGTTGTTTACACTTTTGTCAACAAAAAAGAATTCGATCGTCTATATATTACTAAGACTGGTTACAGATATAATGCACAGTTTAAAGAACAAAGAGACAAAAAAAATAATAGAACAAATCAACAACAAATAAGCTATATAAGCCCTACAGCAATAGTTGAATAGATTTGAATAGATAACCCTAATTAGAGATCACATAACTTCAAAAACTTTTAAAGATGGAGTGCTGAGGGGAAGCAATATCACTTTAAGGATTAGGCTGCTTGCACCGAACCAAAAGAATAGACATTTTAAAGTATTTCCTTGTACTATTTTGTATGATTCAAGGAGTACTTGTTGGGAAATTAAACATATAGAATAACAACAACAACAGCTACAGCATCACCATCATCACTGGTAACTGATGTTTCTATTATTACTCTTTTGATGAACCGAAAACAAAAAAATAAAATACCTTCCTTGCTCTCTTCCCCACCCCGTCACCATTGAACCAAAAAAAAATCTGTCATTTTTCTTCTCTTGGAAAACACTTAATCTCAGACTATGCCCCACCACCACAAATCAAACACAAACACCAAACACCAAACACTTCAGGTCATTCAGTTTGCATCCACACCACACCCCTCTTACTTAACCCCTCTCTCACTGCCGTCTGATCCTTTTTTGTACGCAAATGATGATTTGCCATGACCAAACGAGTGAGGTCACCACATACGCACACGATAGCCACAATGGAAGGAAAGAAAAAAAAAAAAAAGAACAAACGAATTTAAACACAAAGACATGATGATTTGTGGTAGAAATTCTAAGGCGGGGGGAGGGGTGTCGCGAGGGGGAAGACAGAGATCAATTATAAATTAGAATAACGCCTTCTTACGTGTTACAAAAGTAAAGCTATAGTGTGATACGGATATTGTGTGGGTGTTTGGTCTTATCACAAGCCTTCTCTTATCTTTTAATGGCGCTATGTTAGGATCTTTAGATATAGCCACGGCGCAAACTACTTTAGATACCGCTACCAACTTTTGAAATCTTTGACATATCGGTTGAGCCTCACAGACATATCTGATTTACAAAAAACGGTTAACCACACGATAGCAAAGAGGATTTTAACAAATTTCATTTCCCTTTCTTCATTACTCGACTTGGTAAAAGGTGGGCTAATTTAGTTTCTTGCTTTCCCCCAAACAAAAGCAATGCAGAAAAAAAACAGAAATGATCACATTTGGATCTGGCAAATACGAAGCCGGTTCATTGTTCACCGTATGTTATCTCTATTATTTCTATCCTTCCTGTTCGTCAGCCTCACTTAGAAGAAACGTAAACAAGAATACTATAAAGTAAATGGCCCCAAGCAACCACCACGCAACAACACCAACACCATACGTGTCACACACAGACATGATCGATCCCCAGATGAGCGGCGAAAGAAATCGGGCAAACGCAGTAAATGAAATTGTATAACCATTGATCACGGCTCGGTTTTGTTTGGGGGACGCACGATGGATTAAAAGCGTCATTTGCAGAAACGAAATCGACCCGATAAACGACGACAAAAACGTGTTGAAATATAATAAACTGGTTGTTGTGGCATGCAGGTGGAATAGTGGGTTGTACTCTGGAATCGTGAATATGATCAATGGCAAGATGAATGACACTAGTGGGACAAATCCTAGTCCTGATCGGAAAGCAGTCAAAAGTGATAGGTACTTGTTGATTATCGGGAACAACAAGCTGACAAAAATCACTCCAACAATACCTGTGACAGAGAGAAGCTTGCCGACGGACTCAGTGCTGTATCCAAACCCTCCTCGACTGTGGATGGGAAATTTCAACGACTCCACATCGATCGACTTTGACAATAAAATAGGAAGAAACTCGGTGTAGATGACGTTGCAGAACGATAATAGGAAGTTGCAAGCAATGCGATAGATTATCGGCCATGTGAAAAGGGCACTATCAGTCCTCTTTGTCGTGCTGTCCTCGTTGGAAGTAAGCAGCTGCATCTCGTAGGTCTCGCCCTCGCCCTCGTCCTCGTCCTCGTCCTCGTCCTCTCGCAACGAATCATCCATTAAAAACTCTGTGTCCCCTGATTTTCCCATTTGCCAGGGCCGGACAGGCACTTCGAATCCCAAGAGCCTGCGAATGGCATCGCCAATCTCCAACCCCCGGTCGCGTCTATGGCTCACTCTCTCGTTTGTCTCCTCAAGAAACAACCACCCAAGAACGATAAAGCATAGAATCAAGGACGAAATGACAATGTTGGAGAGCGCAAAGGGGAATCGGACAAATAGTGGCTCGGAGTGGGCACTCTTGTTCTCGTTCTCGTTCTCGTTCTCGCTCTCGTCCCGTCGATAGTTCCGGAAATGGTCAACGTCGGTCAATTTACCTGCAAGATACGCTCCAATGCACTTGCCTAGACTCCAGAGCAAGCTCAAATTCGAAAACGCAATGCCCTGGTGACGCTTCTCCACGGCAATCTCCCCCACCGTTGTTCTCATGATGGACACATTGCCGTTCAAGAGACCCATCATGACTCGTGCAACAAACGCCATGACAAAATTGGTACTGAATCCAAAAACAACCATCGAAATAGCCGTGCCGAGACAGCCTAATAGTATCACCGGCTTTCTCCCATACTTGTCAGAAGCCTTGCCCCACCTCACGGAGCTCAAGAATTGGCTAAACGCAAATGCCGACGCCAAATACCCCGTGTATCTCGCGACATCCGCGTCGTCCTTGGCAACTCTAAAGCTTTTGATCATAAAGAAAATGTAGCTTAGGAAACTTGCAAACGCAATGGGCTCCGATAGTCGAAGCAACCCAACAATCACCATCTGGAAAATGGGAAACCCCTGTAGCTGTTCTGTGATGGTGTGGTTACTCATGGTAGACACTTGCCCTATTCTGAATTCAGCTGTGCAACAGACCAATGAAGAGAGACAGAAGGTACCTTTTGAACTGAGCTAACCGTCTTCTCCATAGCTATCCTTGTAAAAAAAATATTTTGTGTTTCATTTTGGATCTGGTGTATTATTACTCATTTGATAATCCCCTCGTTGTGGCCTACAATAAAGAAAAAAAATTCCTGCCTTATTGTTTTGAGCTTTGGCATAATCCACAGTACGGAATTATTGACTTCTCTTTTTATGCAGGACTCTTGCTGTTTTTTCTTTTTCGACCCGAATCGGTCCTTATTTCCGTGCGCGATAGAGCGGAGTTACACAACATCTAAACCAACGGAATAAGAGTTCGTGGTTCCTCAAAGAATTGGAGTATCTACAACAACGAAGAGAAATGAATTATCTAGGACATAGAATCTGACTCAGTGATGACCTTAGTATTCGCTATGTCACACAGTGCTAGGTCCACCGAGATATCCATAAGATATTACCCCAATCGATGAGGACCAGTCTCACGACCCTCTACATACTGTAGGAAAGCAAACGACTTGACGTTTGACACGCCACACCACATTGAAATAGAGTTGGTGAATCCCATAAAACCTTCTTAAAGCATGGTGAGCGTTTAACTTCCAACTTCCAGAAGGTGTAGCGAATTTACCAATTTACACAAACAATTACAAATCGAAGTATTCGGAAATACACTTAAAATAAGTGAAGCTCAAATGTATAGATATGGGCGTTTTTCCTAAAGTTAAGACAATTTCGTTACATTTGAGAATATACATAATTATCCTTCATGGTATGACAATATTCATACCTTATCGAGTCTTTTGAAGTTAAAATGAATTCAATCGATAAACTTTCACTTGAGACGAACATTGATGCTCTAGGTTAACTCAGTTAAAACAATTAATGACAAACTACTGATGTTATTAATTTCAGGTAAACTTGCAACTCACCCGGAATCGATTGGTAATAATCATTCACCCTATTAAAACGAATCAAGTCAAGCATCAGTTGAGCTAAGAAGTAACTTTTGTTAAATACGGTACTCTCTTTTCCCATTTCCACTCCTCCCATCCCATTTTTCCTTCTCTCAAAGCTCAAATATTCTTCACCTTCATTTTCTTGAGACAATCGTCACAATACCATTTCCCCTTTGGTGGATTCTTGAAACCAATACAAGGCAAATGAAACCACTCTCGTTTGCAATCATCACCATCACACCCAACCATTTCACCAAATGAGACTTGATTACAATAACAATAAGTAGGTTCATGCGATCCACTGGAGCTACCACCACCAGTTCCCGATGCCTTCGGTTTATCAATATTAGACGAAAGCGATTTCTTAGAGTCAATTTTGTCGTTTTTATCATCCATATCATCATCCTCGGTCGCTTTCTTCTTCTTTTTCAACGAAGATGAACTTCGATCGTCGTTTCTTCTCTTTTTGGACCCATCATTATTGTTGCTATTGTTGTTGTTGTCTCTGTTAGCATTATTGTTCCCTCCATTATTCTTCCCGCTATCCAGTGGGGTCTGCTCTTTGCTCCGTTTTTTCTTCCCTGCATTGGACCCACTTCCAATATCCCTATCATCGTCTTTATTGGCTTTCCTAGCCGCCAATGCTTCCCTTCTGGTCTCACTACGTTGTGCTTGTGCGGTGGTGGAATTATTCCCATATCCATGTCCTACACCACTACCAACACCTTCTCCATTGGCGTTATCTTTGGCAGGATGCGATGAGTCGAGAATCATTGCTGGATGAACTAAAGGACCAATGCGTATATTCTCCGGGATTTCATTATTCTGAATTATAAGTTTATAATCTTGATTTATTCGACGCATATGTTTATTCAATAGGTCAGTGGCAACTGAAGTAACATGCATTTTCTCTTCAAGACAGGGGATTATTTCATTAATCTTGTTCTTGATTACATTTAATTGTTGATTTTCCCGTTTTTGCTTGTTTTCAAGAGCCTTCACTTTATCTTCACCTTCACTATTCGTCACATGCAAATTGTCAATATAGGTTTTAATTCTATGGTTAATCTGAGGTACTGTGTTGATACATTTAGCATCTATTTCTTTCAATAAAGTGAAATATTTGATTATATCTAATGGCAATGCTTCAAAGGCATCACTGATATCATTTAATCCTGGTAACAATTCATGAAGATGAGTAATTGTTCTAGGTCGATTTTTCAGTTCACTGATTCCCTGGAGTTCTTGCTTCTCCTTTCTTCTGTATTCTCTAGTTTCCTTCATGGCGTAATGAAAAGGAAAAGGATGTGGTTGTTGATTTTTTTTTGCCGTATTACTTGTCCTTGGTTGTAAAACTGTTGGTAGAAAAAAAAGCAAAAATTCGAAATTTTGGTGTTTACTAGAATTACATGCTACCATGTGTAATTTAGTTATCTTACACGACCATGCTTGTGGCAACTTCTGTACGTTACTGCTGTTGGAGCATTGTAGAGATATCCAAAGTGTTCGATAGTGTTTTATCGAGCAGCCGTTGTCTACAAAACTGTATTTCAAGCTTTTTTTCTAATGTGCAAAAGTATTTAGTGTAAAATGAGAACCTACCATGAACTACCTAGTTATCATTTATTCATTACTTGATCTAAATTAATTTCCCCTTCACTTTAAACAGTTGTATTTATTATTTTCTTTGCAGATCGTTCGTCACAGTTTCAGCTACTCTTATTGCCAGATGTACAACATCTGCATTGGCAATACTGTTTAACATCTCAACATCCAACGTTTCCTCATTTTTGTCTTTTGTCCCAGTTCCATTCTCCACATGTGAAGCTTCTGTTGGAACAATATCCAAATTCAAATCTTTCAAAATACGAGTTTTCCTCTTTTCAATATATTCATCACCGTAATCAAATTTCACATTCTTCAAATCAACACTACTTAGCCTGCTCTTGGCGATTTCAACCTGGTTTATCACTTCTTTCAATTGCATGGCTATCTGTTCCACCGTGTTATCAATAGGACTCAATCGCTCTAATATTTCCTTTGCTGGTAAGTGTCCCTTTTGTAAATCATCACCACCACCCAATTGATAAAGTTGCCCAAACTTATCCAGAACGAGCTCAAGATACTGCTTAATCTTATCAAATGTGACTAGTTGGAGTTTATAATACTGTCGCTTATACAACTCTTGTTGAATTAAATCACTCATTCGTAATATCTCATCATCGTATTCCAGTTTGGCTTCTGGGTTGGCTTCAATTTTAGTAAAGTCAATACCCTCGTGACTCTTTAGCCTAAACCATCCATCATGAACCAAATCAGACGGAATATGTAAAATGTTTGAAAGACAATATAATTCATACTTATCAAATGCGTTATCAATTCTAAATTGTAGTAGCGATTCTAATTTAGCAGTACCCGAAAGAATTTCATCGGGAGTTATATTTTCAGGTAGTTGGCCTTGAGCATGGTTATTGGTTAAGTAGTTTTCAAGAGCTTCGATCCCTTGTACCATTATCTGATTGACTGCATTGATAACTTCGTCAACAATTTTTATAGGTGCAAAGCCAAGATGCTCAATGAGAAGAGCTGTTGCACGTGGGTCATATTCTTTGCTTTCCATCTTTGGTTTTTAACTTTCTCTGTACCGTGTTGTAGATGCTGTTGTGGGGTGGGGTAGTTGCGCTTTATCCTTATGTTGTGGTTACGCAGATGATTTGCGTCCTTTTGCAAATCAAAACACTAACGCTACCAACATGACTTCTGTTATTTAGTTTTTTTCACCAATTAAATTCCAACTGAATTGAATTAACGAGCAAAAAAAAATTATACTGTACTACAGACAATTCATATACACACTACATCATCACCACCATGGCAGGTACTTTACATCCAGACAGAGAATTACAAAGATTCAACACAGCAAAGGAAAAACTTGGTCATTATTTCCGTTTCAAGCCAAGATCAGCCGCTTTCAATATCGTCTTTATGGGACTAGTGCCCATTGGATTGACATTATGGGCATATAATAACGAAGGTGTAATTTCCATAACAGATAGGTTGAGAAAGAAGCCTGTATTGACTACTGATTACGTACCTAGAGATAAGGATTTATAAAAGAGTTGATTGATTGATTGATTGTGTGTGTGTGTGTGTGCATTTTTGAAAATACTTTATGGATAGTATGAAAAGATTGATGAGGGTTTTTTGGCTGCTTTGATAAGACGAAAATCTATGTTTGTAAAGTGGACTGATGTCGTATATAATGGCAATTTGTAGGTATACAGCGAGAAGCTTGGGAATTTAATACAAATATTTATATTAATTTTAGAGACGATGCATAGTATTGAAGTCAATCATTCGAAGACTTTAAATAGTTGCAAACCCGTGTTACCAAGCCAGTTCAGAAATAGAATGTAATTTCTCTACGATATCACCGAAACCGAGTGCATTGAATAAAACCAAACATTAAATCATCCTTATTAAACTATCTAATACCAACCGAAATAAATAACAAGACTCAACACATCCACCTTCCCTTATCACCCCATTTACTTTTTCAATTCAACTTGAAATTCAAACATCCTCGACTGAACATTACGATTGCCGTTTGCTTCCTGTGAAGTGCTACTTCTGCGGCCCGACAAACTTCGATGATGATTAGTGCTTCGACCAGCACCACCTACACTACTACCACTTCCTAATCCTTCGCCATGTTCATAGACAAACGAATAATGGTTACCCATGGTAAAAAGAGGCATTGAACTGAACATTTCGACTTGATTGCTGGACATTGACCTCTTTTGTGCCCCTGTTGTAGCCTTTCCGGTAGTACCAGTGCCTGCAGTTGTCTTTACTGGAGACTTTGCTGTTCCTGTTGTCACTGGTGGTGCGTCATTGGCAGATTTGTTCGCAACGGGAAAAGTCCCCATGATGACACCTCCATTTGTTGCAGGGGTTGTTTTTATTGTTTTGTGGAACTTAGGATTGGATAGGATTGATGGTGAGCCATTAAAAGACGAAGACTTTTTCAAAATCTTCTTTGTGTTCATTTTGTTGGTAGTTGACGAGGAAACAACGGTGGGTTTCTTCTTCCTAGGGGTAGAAGTGACACTATTCGCTTGGATTTTCGAAGACGAACCGTTCTTCGATGCTAAAATGTCGGTTATGGCATACGCCGGGTCGTTCAAATCTATATCGACATTGACATCAAAATTAACTAAATCTGAAAGGAACTCTTTTGTATTCAGCCGCAGCGATACCAAGTCTTCGAAATGATCATCATTAAGTAACTCTTCAGCAGTAATATTTTTGCTTTCAAAAAACGTACCCGTATTAGGATTACTCAAAGAATCATCGATCGAAGATTGTGGGCTTGTTACTTCAATCGTAGTAGGTGAATCCATATCGTCATTCTTTTCGACCGATTGACTTCTTTGACTAAATAATGGGTTGGACAAGCTTGCTAGACTTTCTTCTGTAGATGACGTGTTGGGTGTAACACTCTCTTGTTCAACTTTAGCTGCTGTAGTTGATACCCTCTTTGGTTTAGACAACCGTTGCTTTGGCATTTCCAACGCATTAAAAGTAGCAAGGTTATTCTGCTTCTCTTGTTCCTCCTTTATCAAAGTCTGCAAATGAAGACTCAGCTCAGATCTAAATTTCCGGGTTGACTCAAGATCGTTTTGTAGTTGAACAAAATCCTGTGTATGGATTTGTTGTTGAAACATGGCATTGGCCTTCTCATACGGAGAAAGTTTAGTCATGTGGCTTTGGAATTGTGGTGGTTGTTGCCAATTTAGACTTTGTTGCAATGGCGATTGTCTTTGCGTATTCTGAAACAGCTGCATCTGTGGAGGTGCTTGTGGTGTTGCATTTATCTGGTCTGTATTTAAACCAAGACCAATAGGCCCTGACTTTGACTTTGGGGTTCTTTGGGCCTGTGATTGTAATGGAGAAGAAAACTGCTGAGGTGAATTTCTCAATCCGGTCAGCGAATTTGGCGTACTCAACATCGGCTCAGAGGAATAACCGACATTGTTGCAACTCTGTGTATTCATTACATTTGGAACAACTGGCGAAAATTGTGTTTGGATAGTAACATTAGTATGTGAGTCGTTTCTGTTGTCCGCGTTGAAGGGTGGGAATGTCCCCATGGGTATCGTTGCTGGTGTATTTTGATTCGAAAAATTAGTGGCCACCAAATTTCGATTAAAAGTAGGATCCATCGATGGATTTGGTGTTTGTAAATGCTTGTTAGAGTCAAATTCCAGACTCTCAAAGAAGTCGAAAAAGTCATATGGTGGAAAGGCACTTGTTTGTTCATTTACATCAAAGGCATCACTGCTAAATCCATTGAGATTGGGGTTGGGAGTCATAAACTGGCTGTTGGCAATATGACGATCTGAATCGGATGAAAACGATCTTCGTTGGTTGACCATGGGTGAAACGTCGGCAGTGTTGTCTTGCGATAGAAAACTGTGATTGAAATTCATCCTTTGGTTACTGGTTTCAAGCGAGTGTAGAATTTAGACGGTAATGTTAGGTAGCGAACGTAATTATGGAATAATATCAATGACTTATCTCCGTTGTGGATCACTTATCCACCAAACAAATGGAGTTGGTGCTGGTTTTATTTCAATGTACGGCGAAGCAAAAGGGGCTGTAAGTACCGGTTTTGACCAAGCCAAAAAGAAATTTCAAATAGAATCAAGGCAGTCCTGCAGCAAATTTGTTTCGGCTGGTAGTAATATGTTCTAATCTCAATGAAAAGTTGACTTAAACTAGTTCTTTTTTTTTTTGTATAGAAGATGTATAAATTGGATTCGGATAAACAGGTTTTTTTAATTTCTATATTCAGATACGGTTTGAAATTATTTTCACGTTTTTTTCTTTTCTCTCTGTTTAAAACCTACCTAGTGCGAGGCAATGTGTTTCTGTCTGTCTGTGCCTTTTTTTTTTTGTCTTTTTTACTTCTCTTCCTGCTTTTCCCAAATTTTTCTTTTTTAAATTTTTTGGGTGAGATTTTCCAGACAGACAAATTTACAAAACTTCTGTGTCCGGGCAAGAGAATAAATCAAATAACCAAATGTAAAACTGGCTTTAAGATGTGGTGCTTCCATTAGCTCCTTGCTATTTCAAAATTTTGATATCAGGTAGAGACAACCGAGTCATCTTGGCAAACACTTTTTTACATCGACATTAGGGTGGGGTTTTGTCTTAATTCTCGAGGTTTCCTATGAGAAACTAACATCTGACACAAAAAAAAGTTTAAACTAATTGTACGATATGATACGATTGCTATGATGCAATGCTACACGCCTTGGAGAGACACTGAGACTAAATCTCAAGCCTGTTTCTAAACTCGTAGTTTGAGTCGTAGTCCAATTCAAAGGTGTACTAGCGTATAGTAGCCACCGCCAAGCACCCTCTACCTGTGTTGAATTCTGTGGGCTGGTAATTGTATGAACGTGTGTGGAGGCAGATATGAAACAATAATATTTTTTGTTTTGTGTTACAAATCCCATGTGCTGGTTACAATCAAAGCTGGCCAAAGGTTGTAGATTGAGCTTAACCAGCAGATAACAAATATATAAGTTGACAAAGTATTCCCACAACTGAGGGTAGTTCATTGTTATTAATTCCTACAACGTTATGAAAGTGAGCACTTTACTGTATGAAACAAGTCTGCACATGTTGTCCTTTTCACCTTATACAAACCCTATGCTGCAAATGCTTACTGTAAAGTTCGTTGCAGGTTTTTGACCTAGGACTTATATTTATTCTAGACCCAGCTCTAAAAGCAAAGTCTTCCTTGATTTCTACTGTTCTGGGGACCTAAATTCTTTTTTCTATTCCAATTGAACTTTACTTCTGGAGTGGAGTGTTTACTGTAGAGCAAAAGAGTAGCTGATCATCTGAGCTAAATTCTGATACCCAAGGATGGCACTACAATATAAGGTCTGCCTTTTGCAATAAATTTGAATAATTGACGTTTTTGGCTCATTTCTGTACAAATCTTTTGAATCAGAAATCTCCAACAAGTTTCACCAATTATTACACTTTTCATAGAATGGCTTTAAAGACTAGCAATTATACAAGCCCCAATTGATCTAATCTCAGCTGTTTTGAGGGCATAGAAGGTTCAAAACAATCATTCTTACCAAGACTTGCAACCACTTGGTAATGCAGCCACAAACACCTTTCCCTCATATAGCCAAATATCGAAGAGATCAATCAACCTTAAGTTTCACCTGTTACAGAAACAGAACCCGAATCCAAATACACTTTTTTTGGGAGGGTGGAGGGCAATAAAGTACATTTTCTCTTATACAGCTTTTCGGCTTTGATTTTCCGCTTACTCTCTCGCGTTAGCCCCACTAACAGATGCGCTAAATACCAATTTGGGACTGCGCGTATCTTCGAAACCTAAATGATAGTCAAATAATAATTTTAGAAAGATTAACACCTCCACCAGACCCATTTTAGAGATCATGCGATGTAAATAGAACCCCTTTTGCCGCTGGACCTCTATCTCATAAAATCCCTGCTTATTCCGCCGTTTTAGTCGAGTTCTCCAATTAGCAAAACCAAATTACGCAACCATTAAAACAATGACTAAAATCGATCTCAACTCAATCAAGATCCAAAACGGGAGATTGGTAGACACTATTCATGAAACAGCCAAATGGGGAGCTAAGGGGGTTTGGGGACCCGGCCCCACAGAAACTGGAGTTTGTCGATTGGCATTGTCGGACTTGGACAAATCAGTTCGTGATTGGTTTGCTAAAGAAACTACTGCTTTAGGCTGCAAGATCAAGATTGACCAAGTAGGAAACATATTTGCTATCTTTCCTGGAAAGAATAATGATGCCTTACCTACTGGTGTAGGATCTCATTTGGATACTCAACCAAGTGGCGGTCGATACGACGGTGTTCTTGGAGTCTTGTCAGGGTTGGAAGTGTTGCGTACATTAAAAGAGAACAACATTGTTCCTAACTACCCAATTGCCTTGATTAATTGGACCAATGAAGAAGGAGCAAGATTTCCAATTAGTATGGTTGCACTGGGAGTATGGGCCGAAGCTATTCCGTTGGAAACCTGTTTGAACTGTGAATCGATTGACGATGAGACCCCTAAAAAGTTTGGCGATGAAGTAAAAAGAATTGGGTACGCTGGTGATGTTGCTGCATCGTACAAAGAAAATCCTTTGGCTTGCCATTTTGAGATCCACATTGAACAAGGCCCAATTTTGGAGCATGAAGGTAAGAAAATTGGTGTTGTGGTAGGTGGACAAGCTTTCGAATGGAACTTGGTCACTGTCACAGGAAGATCTTCTCATGCTGGTACTACCCCTATGAATACAAGATCAGATGCATTGCTCATGTCATCAAAAATTATCATCATGGCCATTGAGACAGCTACTGCTCATGGCGGTCTTGCCACTGTTGGTACACTCCACTTGGCTCCTCAATCAGTTAATGTGATCCCTAATGAGGTTAAGTTTTCGTTAGATGTGAGGCACATCGAGGATGAGGTTGTTGCTAAAATAATGTCAGAGATAAAAACAAAAGCAACTGATATTTGTGATGTTGGTATTGGATCAAATCTTGCTAAACCATTATCTGTCAAATTCGATAACTTGACGGTATCACCAGCCATAAAGTTCAACCAGACTAATATCGAAACTGTTAAAAAAGCGGCATTGCTGTTATTTGATAAAAAGGATATTAGAGAAATTACCAGTGGTGCAGGACATGACTCGTGTTATGCTAGTAGGAGAGTTCCCACGTCGATGATTTTTATTCCTTCAAAAGATGGTGTTTCTCATAGTCCAGAGGAGTACTCTTCTCCAGAAGACGTTGATAACGGGTTTCAAGTTTTATTGAGAACAGTATTGTTATATGATGAGTTAAGAGCAGAAAATGAAGGAGCTTGATTGTATATCGTGTATAAGGTTTAGCATATGATCAAAATTTTACAAGAACCATAGTTTGTAGAGAAGTAACAAAGGGAAGAGAGTTAATGTTAGAATGCTCAAGTACTCGTATATCGATATACATATAAAACTAGTCGTAGTCGTAATGGTAATGTACTGTATTTACTTGCAAATTGCTTATCGTGGAAGCAAGAATTCACCGTTATCCAACTTAACTTGTAAATTGTAATCTGGCTGGAAAGCAGCATATAAAGTATCAGGATCATTAGTGACATACGCACTGTAGTGAGCTTCTTGATCAGGGATGATTTGCTTAGGCTTGACTTTTTGGTCAACAGCATCAGCCATCAATTGGGCTTGACAAGATTTGTCCATCAAGGTAAACAAGTAAGCGGCTTCGTCGATAGTCAGACCCATGGTTAACAAACCGTGGTTTTGCAAAATGACACAGCGAACATCACCAGCAGCCTCAGCAATGGCCCTACCTTCATCCTTTTCCAAAGCAACACCACCGAATTTTTCGTAAACGGCTTGGTTGTTGTAGAAGACACAAACATCTTGATTGATCATTTCCAATGGTTTACCAAATGTGGAATAAGCCTTTCCATGCACTGAATGTGTGTGGCAAGCAGCATTAACATCCGGTCTAGCTTGATGCAAAGATGAGTGAATAGCAAAACCAGCAGCATTAATAGGAGCCTGATTTCCATCGGGCAAGATTTCTCCCTTTTCAGTAACATGGACCAAATCTTGAGCTCTAATTAAACCGAAATGAACTCCCAATGGATTGATCCAGAAAGTGTCTTTGTCAATTGGATCACGCATGGAGCAATGACCAGCTTCACCTTCATCGTAACCTTTTCGAGCAAAAATACGGAAAGTAGCAGCGGCATGTTCAAGCATGTGTTTTCTTTCAGCAAGCTTGTCAGTGAAATCTGGTTTTCTGTATGGATGTTCTCCACCCATTGAGATATTGTGGGACCCTTGGGTACCGAAATCGTAACCTTTGGAGGTTTGCTTGTTCTCTTCAGTAGTCGCAGTTGGAGCCATTGTGTATATAATTTGTATTATTTAACTATTGAATTACTTGAAAATGAAACTTCAAACGGAATGGGGGAATTCTATCAATTTATCAATGAATTGAAAGCGGGGCTCAGTGGGGGTAGAATTAAATTGTTGAGAATGCAAAATGAAAAACGTGAAACAGTACTACTCTGTCCAATGAATTCGCTTGTAAATTCTTGTTTTTACAAATGGGCATTCAAAATCTTCCACACTCCCCACTGGATTATTCTTTAGAAAGTGAACTTGTTTTAAGAATTATATTGTGTTATTGTTGGGTCAAGCTTTCTACTCAATTATCTCTATCTTTTTATCTCTTTCCTCAAAATTAGATGCGCGCTAATTGATATGGTTTCTCTCTCAGTTACTATTTATGGATGACACAAAAAGTATGTTGAGGGGAGGGTTAGATGCAAGAGAAAAGGATAACTCCGAAACACTAAATGTACCAGTATATTTAGTGGGTATGCAACGTTGAGGTATTTGAGGTAGTACTAGAAATGGTGTGGTCAATGCACTGTTTATACCAAGAAAACCACTTACGCTCTATGCAAGTTTGTTATTTTTTCGCCTCTCCTGCTTTCCCATGCACATTGATGTAGCCGAAATCTCACCTTAACCGGGCCGTTGAGGAATAGTATGGCGGCAGTTGTGAAATATCACTTCTAGTCCTTACACCTTACATCCGAGAGTGATAATCGAAAGTTTTGCCAACAACACTAGGTTTTAAGAGCAGCTATATCTCGTTTGAAGCTTAATTTACGTCTTTTTTGAAACAAAAATTTTCCCATTTTGGTTTACCTTTCCGAGTGCTTCACTTTAGGATAATCCCGCTTAGGTCAACGCAGGGACAATTAAAGCTTTTGGCTGTAAACTACCGGAGCGAGTATCCTTTCCGGCGAAAAAATATTAATGGGACAGTCTAAATCTCAGCCGTATTAGCTATTTTGCTTTCTCCCCTCACTTGAGATAATATTCTTCAAATTGAAGAAGAAAATACATTGTGAATAATATTATTCAGCCATAAGAAAACTTGGGGAATAATGTAAACTAAACGTAAGTGTAGAATAGCTAGAGAGGGGACATGTAACGCTTTTGCAAAGCTCCTATCAATCTCTTGGTTGTAAGATTCATTATAGACTTTCCCCATCACGAGGTTTGCGAACTGTGACATTTACAGTTTTGCGCTTTCTTCACATAACTGATCAATTTTCTTCCAGCACCGTTGGAAAACAAGACAAGGGTACAAATAGGTAATACACAGTACCTAAAAGCACAAAAATTATAAAGCGGTTGGAGATCTTTCCACAAATTATTTTTGAATCTTGTTAACGTTTAACATTTTTTGTCTTATTTTATATTTTTTTTTATTTTTCTTGACATTTTGATTGCAAGATATTCCATTTTTGGCCAAATCACCAAAATTCCATCTCTCCCCAAACACCAAGCTTTTTGTTGGTTGTAATTGCGCTACTTTCAACCAAGTTAAAGGAAATGATTGGCTAAGATAAGAAGCTCCACTAGTACAATGCGTCCTTGTTTTATAATCCCTCTTTACTGAATGCTTTCAAAGTCGTTTTCATTTGGGAGGGGATGCTAACAACATTTCAAAATAGTTCTCGGACCACCACTTTTTGTGTGTTTACTGATAAAGAACATGGCAACATATATTGCGATTGGGAGCTCCCCCATAAAGCCACTAAAATCAACCACTTAGAAATAATCAGTTTCTCTTTCAGTTAACACACAAAATCATCAAAATGCAAGCCAAGAGGAAAACGAAGATTCTTTTTTTTTACTTCTCGATATGGTAAGGCTGAAATGGTTGCAAATAACGCACATTATTATCTTTGAAAATCACCCGCAAAAATTTTAGATATAGAAAGCAGCGAAGAGCACAGATTCAAACATAAATACTAAAAGTGGGGATACGATGAGGTAGAACTGGATTAAGTACCTCTTTGATCTTTCAAGAGAAACTATTTATGGCCAAAGATTGCCTCAAAGTTTGACTTTTTTTTTCACAATTCTGATAACTTATTAATCCCTAAAACAACAATGTCATCATCTGCTACAGATAGAAAGGTTGAAACTGAACACATTTCGGCATACTCTTCAGACCAAGATCTGCTTTCAGTAGACGATATCTTCAATGAGAAGCCAAAGTTGACCCTTCCTGTCATTAAGAATTATTTTGCCACTAGACTTACAACTTTGTTTGATTTGCCAGTTTATCACTCGGACAAGGCCTGGTATGTGCTCATAAACCCTATTCCTGCTTTGAGGGAAATGTCATGGAGAGATTGGAATTACTACGGTTTGGGATGGTGTGGTTGGGTTTTGGATGCCATGGATTTTTTCTGTGTTTCTGTCGCATTGCCAGAAATTGCGGTTAGTTTGAAGTCAAGTGTTGCTGATATTACTTGGGGTGTCACTTTGGTTTTGATGCTTAGAGCTATTGGTGCTATTTCTTTTGGTTTGGCTTCTGATAGATTTGGTAGAAAAAAGTGTTATATTGTTATTTGTATATTATTCATTATTGTTGAGATTGCTACCGGATTTGTCCAAAACTTGGAGCAATTCCTTGGTGTTCGTGCTATATTTGGTATCTTGATGGGTAGTATGTTGCCAGTTTGTATGATTACTGCCATGGAGAGTCAACCTGTTCGTGCAAGAGGTATTTTGTCAGGTTTGTTTTCTCCAGCTTATTGTGTTGGTTACATCATGGCTTTAGTTTGGTACAAGGTTTTTGCACCAACCTACAAAGAGGGTGAAGGATGGAGAAGTTTATTCTGGTTCAGTGGTGGTTTGAGTATCATCTTAATTATCTGGAGAATGTTGGTTCCAGAATCAGAAGAGTTCTTGATTATGCAAGAAAAGAAGAAGAAATTCAAGGAACAAAACAAAAAGAATGGTCTTCACAAGTATTTCAACACAACTATTATACAAACTTTGAAAACTGAATGGCTATTGTTCATCTACCTCTGTATTGCTTATGCTGGCTGGAACTTTACAAGTCACGGAACCCAAGATTTATATGTTACTATGTTGTCCAATCAATTCGGCGTTGATCTTAACAAGAGAACTTTGATCGTTGCATTGTCCAATGTTGGTGGTCTTATTGGTGGAGCATGCATTGGGAATGTTTCCGAGGTTTTAGGAAGAAGATTATCTGCCATCATTGCAACAATTTTTTGTGGTGCTTTTGTTTATCCATCTTTTTACGATGCAGATAAAAATTGGGGAGCATATGTTGTGTTAATTGGCTTTATGATTGCTTCTTGGGGTATATCATCTGCATACGCTTTGGAATTGGTGAACAAAGCTCATAGAACATTGTTGATTGGGTTGGCTTACCAGATTGGTAATTTGATTAGTGCTGGTAGTGCCACCATTCAGGCTCAACTTGGTGAAAAGTACCCTATTCCAGGTGCCGCCCCAGGTGTTTATGATTACGGCAAAGTCATGTGCATTTTCTGTGGTGCAATTTTTGCATTCATGGTTGTTATTTTAGTCTTGGGACCAGAGAAGTTCCACAGAAACTTGAAAATGACTCCTGCAGGACTTGGAGCAAAGGAGGAGCTTGAAGAAGGTTTGATTTTGGATAGTTCAGACAAAGAGGGAAAGAAATAATCAGTTATGCCAACAGTTAATAATATAATCCCATTCTTATGTCTCTAGATTACAATATGCAGAGCTAATACCGCGCATTGGTTTAGATGTTGTGTAACTCCGCTCTATCGCGCTCGGAATAAGGACCGATTCGGGTCGACAAAGAAAAAACAGCAAGAGTCCTGCATAAAAAAGAGAAGCCAATAATTCCGTACTGTGGATTATGCCAAAGCTCAAAACAATAAGGCAGGAATTTTTTTTTCTTTATTGTAGGCCACAACGAGGGGATTATCAAATGAGTAATAATACACCAGATC